TAAAAGGGGGCTAACAAAGTATCAGAGAAACAGATGGACTACAGTCTGTAACTGTAGAACTACAAAGTGCACCTATACAGTAAGTGGAGCTGATAAAATGGTCAATGAGCGTAGAAACAAGGAGGTGGTCATAATGTTATGCCTGATCGGTGTGTATAGTTATCGTCATACATTATGTCACAATACAATACAATATGCTTTTCTAAACATATTGTGTTTATCGTCAGCACTTGCAAAACAATGACCAACTGCATGTTTCATTATAAAGAGAGCAAAACGAGTCCTGTGTGTCCACGTCAAAAGACGGTAAAAGAAGCTCCCCTCACCGGCCTGCGGTGGGCAAAGCCTGCCGGTGCCCCGGTCTTTACAGCGTTTGTACCAGGGAAAACACTGCAGCACCTTCTTCCCCATGAGCTCGGCTGCACTGCTGGATCTGGAGGGAGAAGATCAGACATTGTGATTAAACAGTGCTTTATCTCATCAGGGAGGTTCGGGGTTACTACTGTAACAGCACTTCTGCAGAAAAGTAACCGTGGTAATTGCATTACTTGCATTGTTTGGCTCAGCCTACAGAAGGACAGCCTCATTCGAAGAAAAGGATTAAGAACGAAGGTCTGTCTTTAGGTGAAGAAGCTTTTTTTAGACCTTATAGCTCATGTTTAGTGTCGGATGTTTACTCCTTTAGTTTTAGCACTGGAGCCACAAGGCTAATGTATTTTAATTAGCCATTCTATGTATTCTATTTTCATTTTTATCTTATTTTTAGTAACATTTTTATTTTCCATCTTATTGTTTTCCCTGATTATATATTTTTTGTCATGTGAAGCACTTGGAGCATGTAATTCTTTACTGAAAAGCACTTTGAGCTGCATTTCTGGTATGAAAGGTACTTTTCAAATAAAGTTTTTATTGTTATTATTAACAAGAACTGGAAGCTTATGGTGCACTAATTAGCCGAATCAACACTTATTTATGTTGAACCATTTGGTCTGGCTAATTAATCTCTAAAAGGCTTGTTTATCTGGTTTCTGACACTGTACGAAATACTTTTGTCTGTAAACATGGAGCAAAACACAGACAAAATAGTTAAAACTGATGAACCAAAAACAGTTATAATTCATTTTACAGTCATAATTCATTTTCCAGCCTCTCTTTATCCCTTAGAATTAAACAGCTTGTTTTTACTGTGTCTTTAAGACTGATATATGTACATGAGCTCTGATCTGATTGGCTGTGCCTCAGTCCAGACTGAAACACTCCTTATAACTTCAGCACAAATGGGCGGAGCTAAATTGCTGACAACTGAATAGGCAGGTATATGTTAATGTGCTGATCCAGAGGGCAATGGGTTTCCTTTTTGAGTCTTGGTTCCTCCCAGTGGTTCTACTTCAAGTCCTGAGGGAATTTCTCCATTTGAGTCTCGGTTCTTCTCAGTTGTTCTTCCCCATGCTCTTAGAGAGTAACTCCTTTTGACTCTTGGTTCTTCTTAGTGGTTCTTCTTCATATTCTTCATGAGTTTCACCTTTTGAGTCTTGGTTCCTCTCTGTGGTTCTTCACCATGCTTTTGAAGACTGTCTCGCTTTGAGTCTTAGTTCTTCTCAGCCGTTCTGCCACATGCTCTTAGAGAATTTCTCCTTTTGAGTTTTGGTTCCTCTCAGCGGTTCTTCATCAAGCTCTTCCGGAGTTTTCACCTTTTGAGTCTCGGTTCTTCTCAGTGGTTCGGCATCATGCTTTAAAAAACTTTTTCCTTTTGAGTCTCGGTTCTTCTCAGTAGTTTTTGTCTCTTTATGTTTTTCCTTTTGAATCTTGGTTCCTCTCAGTGGTTGCTCATCATGCTCTTGAGGAGTTTCTTCTTTTCAGTCTTGGTTCCTCTCAGTGTTTCTTCTTTTCTAATGGCTCACACATGACTATCAACCCACAATTACGCATAACATTAAAGATCTTGGCTGAAAATAAAACTATCTCCGGAAATCTAACATCACTCCATCCATTCCTAATACACTATAGTTACGGGCACAGCACTTCAGGGCAGCAGAGGCCGACTATGGTCCTGCATAGATGGAGTGCAGCACAGCTTGGCTGATTTTTTCTTGCCTTATCACACCTGATTCAACTCATCAGGTCACAAGCAGGTGTGCTAGAGCAGGTAAATCACCAAACCCCACCGCTTCATTCATGCCCACTTGGTTAAAGGTCGAACTGACTCGATTAAGAAATCACAGAGAGCGTCTGGGCTTCTTTGAAAAGTGTGTTACATAAAGCACTAATCCTCATTGGAGCGAAGGAAAGTAGAGCGACTGGAGGAGCTGCCAGCACAGTAAAGGGGCTTTGGCTGGATAAACATGTTGCTTAAAGTGTCCCATCACTGTACAGCAGCACAGTGACATTACATAAACACATGGTTTTCGAATTTACACAACTCTACACAACTCTACAAACACTAAGAACTGAACACATGCAAATAATACCACAGTTACTCGCTGTGTCCCAACAACTGTATGCCAAGAAGGCAAACATCCCAATTTGAAACGTTTTAATGCATAAATTAAGAACTAAAATCGAAGTTTTAATTGTCTTTTCAGTCGAATTTGCCGTTCCACCTTAAATGATTCAGTAGTAACTGCTGCACCATTTAAGGTGGAACGGAAAATTCATATCAAGTGAAATAAACAGCTTTTTAAAGCCTAAATCATCACTCAACACTGTCACTTAAGCAGTTAACACTATAAAAATAGACCTACCTGTGGATGAATCGGTGTGATTTGACGTATCCAGTTTTTTGCTCAAACTTACTCAGCCCTGGGCTATATTTCCATCCCTATCTTCATCATCATTATCACCATCATCATCACTGCCACACTGCTCGTGTGCACACCGGAGAGTGACGCTGCTGAGGCTGAGCAGCGATTCGACTCACGAATCGTCCTGTTTGAGCGACTCTTTTAAACGACTCCGAAGAATCGATTCGTTTTTTTATCGCGAACACAAAAGTAAGCACAGTCTTTATAGGCTAAAACGGCTAAAACCTGTTTCCTAAACATTTACGTAAATGTTTCTCTTAACATCTGACTGAAATGTCCATCTTCAGAGACAACGCAGATTCCTTTGATTCACGTAGTTCTAAAGAATCGAATCAGTAAAGTGAGTCATTAGCTCGTATTAAGGGCTGGATTGCGCATGCGTGGAAGGGCAGGGGAAATTTCCACAAGCTGAGCCTTTTAAAATCACTAATCCTACAAATCTCTACCTCCCTCCAGACTCTGGTACACACACACACACACACATACATATATATATATATATATATATATATATATATATAGTTGTATTTTATTTTAAGTATGATTTTTATTTTATGTCAGTCTGCTTTTACTTTTTAAAACTTCCTTTTTCACAGCACTTTGAGCAGCTACATGTCTGAAAAGTGCTATTAATGAACTCATTACTATTATTTTTATTACTATTATTACTATTATTGTTATTATTAATGTTCCAGTGTCCCAGTAACGTCTGCGAAAATCCTCTGAGAGCAGTTTGAGAACATTGTGTACCTGATTATGGGATCAGTGACAGCACGAGAGAGTTTTCCATTAATCTCATTTAGTTTAGACTGTTTTTATTCCTGCAGTGGGACCATTGCAAAGTCCAAGTCCCCATTTTGCTGCTCTGTTTAATCTGATCTGGAATCTAGCAGTTAAAATATGATTAAAGCCACATGTGGTGATGCTTTAAAGCGTTCTGACTTTCTTCTGAAGACATAAGAGCACAGGCCGTAACCTTCTGACCCCACTATGGGCAACATATTAAACTGCTTAAGCTTTGTAGCAAATATATAGCTGCTAGTGTCCCCAGTTTCTTGTTGTAACTGTAAAGATGAGGATTAGCATTTTGTGTGTGACTGAACAGACACAGTAGATCTGCATAACAATAAAAACGTTACACATTCTCATATCAAAATGGAATATATTGCAATATATATTCCAAACAATAACTAGAAGTGTAATATTTACACCAATAAGCCATTACATTAACAGTTTATACACTCACTGTCTGTTCTATCAGCTCCACTGACCATATAGTTTCACTCTGTAGTTCTACAGTTACAGACTGTAGTCCATCTGTTTCTCTGATACTTTGTTAGCCCCCTTTTACCCTGTTCTTCAGTGGTCAGACCCCCATGGACCCTCACAGTGCAGGTACTATTTGGGTGGTGGATCATTCTCAGCACTGCAGTAACACTGAAGTGGTGGTGGTGTGTTAGTGTGTGTTGTGCTGGTCTGAGTGGATCAGACACAGCAGTGCTGCTGGAGTTTTTAAACACCTCAGTGTCGCTGCTGGACTGAGAATAGTCCACCAACCAAAAATATCCAGCCAACAGCGTCCTGTGGGCAGCGTCCTGTGACCACTGATGAAGGATTAGAGGATGACCAACACAAACTGTGCAGCAGCAGATGAGCTATCGTCTCTGACTTTACATCTACAAGGTGGACTGACGAGGTAGGAGTGTCTAATAGAGTGGACAGTGAGTGAACACAGTGTTTAAAAACTCCAGCAGCACTGCTGTGTCTGATCCACTCATACCAGCGCAACACACACTAACACACCACCACCACATCAGTGTTATTGCAGTGCTGAGAATGATCCACCTCCCAAATAGTACCTGCTCTGTGAGGGTCCATGGGGGTCCTGACCACTGAAGAACAGGGTAAAAGGGGGCTAACAAAGTATGCAGAGAAACAGATGGACTACAGTCTGTAACTGTAGAACTACAAAGTGCACCTATATAGTAAGTGGAGCTGATAAAATGGACAATGAGCGTAGAAACAAGGAGGTGGTCATAATGTTATGCTATATTATATATGTTATCGATGTAAATACATACAACAAGACTATACCAGTTACTTCCATTGCATACACCTGTCTAGACCCACATCAGAAACAAAACAGTCCTAGTGTGATACATTTTGAGCTGTAATGACAAAACAGGCACTGAGTTACTGTTAAAATGTTACGTATCAAAACACTCAGTTTATTGAACGCTGAACCAAAATGCACAAACCATAACAATAATAATAAATGAGAAAGAAAAACACAAGAGAGCCAAATGAAAGTCTGTCTGTTAGGCATAGCAGAATCAAACACACACCCAGTCCAGTAACTTACAAAAACATACAGTTAGAGGAAAAGAAAGTCAGAGCCAAACGGAACAGCCACTCAAACACAAAAGCAATCAGAAAAGTAATACCTCAGCACAAGGCTGCCGACCCTCGAGGACCGGCTTTGAGAACTCCAAACACGGTTTGAGGCCTTGTTGAATTCTACTCTGATTTCATTCTCGAGGTTTTAGTGGATTTTTTAAAACTCACTGTGTAAAAAACATTCACATTTTTTGATAAGATTACCAGCATGAACAGAAAATCAACTCAGAAAATCCCACATGTAATAGCCTATCATTGATTAGCGTATGATTGATTAGCCTCTAACTGGTTAGCCTTTGATTGTTAGCTTGTGATTGGTTAGCCTCTTACTGGCTAACCTCTGATTGGTTAGCCTCTGTTTGATTAACCTCTTTTTGGCCAACCTGTGATTTTTAGCCTCTGATTGGTTAGCCTATGATGGCTTATTTTGTGATTGGTTAGCTTCTTGTTGGCTAACATGTGATTGTTGGCCTTTAATTTTAGCCTCTGACTGGTGTGATTGGTTAGCCTCTTATTGGGTTAGTCTGTCATTGGTTAGCTTGTGATTGGTTAGTCCATTGTTTAGTGACTAGTTAGCGTCTGGTGGTTAACCTTTGGTTTGTTAGTCTGTGATTGCTGGCCCTCAATTTTTAGCCTCTGATTGGTTAACCCAGCTGTTTAGCTTGTGATTGGTCAGCCTTTTATTGGCTAACCTGTGATTATTGGCCTTTGATTTCTAGCCTCTGATTGAATAGCCTATGATTATTTAGCTTGTGATTAGTTAGCCTCTGTTAGGTTAGTCTGTGATTGGTTAGCTTCTGATTGGTTAGTCCATTGTGTGGTGACTGGTTAGCGTCTGTTTGGTTAGCCTTTGATTCGTTAGCCTGTGTTTGGTTAGCTTTTGACCAGTAGTTGCCATCACTGCTACTCCCACATGCTCACGGGTCAGAATGCATTATGAGGCAGAGCAAATGAGCTAAGCTAGTGAGATAATTTGATAAGCCTCAGAAGAGATTGTGACAGAGGCGCTGAGGAGGAGCTCCCAGAAAAGAGATATTTACATTTAAAAAAAGCCACGACGGCTATTTACATAGTGTAGTGACAGTAAAAAAGTCAAGGCAGCTCTGTTTGATTCACTCTAATAAATGTCAATTTGCATTTAAATTTGGGTACATCTGTAGTAGCCCAGCAGTTTTTACTGATGAATCTTCCTCACACCCACACGCTGCCCTTCCCCTCCCTCTCCGCTGCCCCCTGCTGGCCGCAGCAGCCCCCCAGCCCCCTGTGGTGGGATGCAGGCAGGTTTTTATAGACAGCGCGGCTGTACGGGATGAAGCAGAGGCCCAGCTGGAGGTGGCGGGCCAGTCTGCAGTAAGCAGCCAAAGCCAGAACCAGCAGAGGAACCAGCAGAAGGAACCCAACCACCAGCAGAGCTACACAGGCACCATCGTTCAGCAGGTCTGAGCAGTAAACGGAGGTTCCGTGCGGCTGCACCTGGGAGACAAGAGGAATGATATGTTTACACTGTGGTCTACACCTCTAGACTGTAGCTTGGTTTAAAATGTTTCTCTGTCTTCTTTGCCACATATAAGGTGTCATTAGGAAAAAACTGAAAGCAGAGTAAGTCGTCTTAAGCTACATCAACAAAGTCAAGCAAAAACCTAGAGGCTTCGCTAGCTAGCAATATAAAATAGATAATTGTGGTCAACTTTCCATTTAAACTCGGAAACCAGTGGTTTATTTCATGAAGCAAGTGTTTTTTCCTAGCCTGCTAACTAAACTTTTTCAATGCTTAGCCAGCTAACTTTAACCTTACTTTGATGCTTAGCCAGCTAACTTTAACCTTATTTTGATGCTTAGCCAGCTAACTTTAACCTTACTTTGATGCTTAGCCAGCTAACTTTAACCTTACTTTGATACTTAGCCAGCTAACTTTAACCTTACTTTGATACTTAGCCAGCTAACTTTAACCTTACTTTGATACTTAGCCAGCTAACTTTAACCTTACTTTGATGCTTAGCCAGCTAACTTTAACCTTACTTTGATGCTTAGCTAGCTAACTTTAACCTTACTTTGATACTTAGCCAGCTAACTTTAACCTTACTTTGATACTTAGCCAGCTAACTTTAACCTTACTTTAATGCTTAGCCAGCTAACTTTAACCTTATTTTGATACTTAGCCAGCTAACTTTAAGCTTACTTTGATGCTAACTTGAAACTTATTTTGACCTAATTCTGGATTTTTAGTTTTATGACAGTAGATCACTTTTTACTGGGCTTTGTTGCTATGGCAACTTATGCTGTATGGTTTGGGGTTACGAATCATAAACAGCTATTGGACCAATCAGGGCTGAGCTTCTGCTGCAAGTCGTCAGCTATTTGTTTAATAGTACACTTAAAATCAAGCCATTAAAACAATGGCGAGGCGACCACTTAGCTACACGCTCTGCATCGATCACAGAGGAAAAAGTACATAATAACATAACATAAATATGGATAATGTAAAGCAATTATTCTGCCAATGAACTCTACTACAGTGGCAGCAGGGACAGTGTTGCTTTCTGCTGTTACAAATGCTTGACCTTGTATATATTTACACAGTATTATTTCTTTGTCCTGCTTTGTTATAAACGTCATGCTCACGCTCGAGGATTAATCACAGCCTGAGAATCTGAACCTGAGCTAACAAAGAAAGATGTTTTATTAGATTTTGTGAAGCTGAAACTTGGTCCGGCCCCAGATGACCAAACTTCACCCAGTCTCTCCAAACAACGTGAACTTCAGGTTTGCTGTTCTTTCTCCATTGATTGTATTCACAAATACAGACGTTCCACTGACATAATTAACACATAACAGACAAAATGACTGAAAAATGTGTATAAAACGTGTCAATTTGAGCTGAAGAGATCAGTTTTCGATAGGACTGAAAACAAACATCAGATTAGAGCTAAGTCTTACTGTAACATCTGAGCTTTGGGAGAGGGGTGTGTGTGTGTGCGTGTAAGATGATAGTGGACAGTGATAAGGAGGGGAGATTATATCTGAAGCTGTGTACTTTAATGTAAGGTCATCCAGGTGGTCTGTGTCAGGAATGTAGCGGAGATCTCTCACCTGTCAGTCCTAATCAGCGAGATGTGGAGATGTGCTGGATTTGAGAAGGGCTGAAGCTGAGAGCGTGAACGTGTTTTTCACACAAACAGCGCATGTTATTCTGTAGATACGCCCATTTTTCCAAATCTGATTTGTGTGTTTTCTCTGATGGCTGAGGTGGAAGAGTTCATGGGTGATGTTTGTGAGCGTCTAACAGATCAGCAGAGCTAAAACACTGAGCTCAGAGCACGTCTGAGGAATCTATGGTGGTCCTGTGTTTTAACCCCTCAAACTCCCTTTAAAATCTACTATGAATTATTCAGTAACTACCGTAAATTATTGAGGATTTACAATGAATTATTCAGTATTTATTATGAATTATTCAGTATCTACTATGAACGATTTAGTACATAATATGAATTATTCATTATCTACTGTTAATTATTTAGTATTTCATTTGGATTATTCAATATTAACTATTATTTAGTATGTAGCATTAAGTATTCAGTATGTATTATGAATTATTCAGTATCTACTTTGAACGATTTAGTAATTATTCAGTATGTAATATCAACTATTCAGTATTTATTATGAATTCAGTATCTACTGCAAATTATTTAATATTTAATATGAATTATTCAATTTGAACAATTATTTAGTATGTAATATGAACTATTAGTATAATATGAACTGCATTTAGTATGTAGTATTAAGTATTCAGTATTTATTATGGATTATTTGGTATCAATTATTCAGTATCTACTACTAATTATTTAGTATTTAATATGAATTATTCAATATTTACTATTATTTAGTATGCAATATGAATTCAGTCTACAAATAATTATTTAGTAATAACTATGAAGTATTTAGTATGTAGTATTAAGTATTCAGTATCTACTACTAATAATTCAGTGTAATAATAATTTGGCGCTATGTTCAGTCAGTTAGCTAACACACCTGCCTGTTTTTTCTAAATTCTGATGAAACAAACATTGAAGTCCATCAGGATTATAACCTACATACAATCCTGTTATCCGTGCTGTGTGTAAACATTAAAGCTCTGCTCTTACTGATGAATGGCAGAGGAAGCCGAACACCACCATGACGAGCGCCGGGGTGAGGATGAGGCCGAAGATGACTCCGGCCAGGCCTGCGTTAATGGTGGCGATGATGAGGTTCTGGGCGGTGACGAGGACGGAGCAGGCCCAACAGTCCAGAGACCCCCTGAGCTCCAGCGGCTGGTCAGCCACGGTGCTGCCCGCCACAGAGTACGGAGGGGGCACCACCACCCCCGGGGCCGGCACTGGGGACACGGCCGCTGAGGAGATGGAGTTAGCGTGATGGAGGCGGGTTAACTCTGAGTCCACCACATCAGCCGAAAGCTGCTGAGATAACGCCTTCTCCAGGGTTCCGTTCCGAGATAAAGTCATTCTGTCACTCCTTCAGACCTTTCAGGCAGAGAAATCAGGAACAGTGATGAGAAAAGGGGCAGCATTCCCAGAAAAAATCTAGAGGGTACATTAAAGGGGTCCGTATTATGGAAAACTGAATTTTCCTCACTTTAATGCTGAATAAGCTTAATAAGTTTCAAAATGTACCATTCACTCCCATATATGGAAACTGCTCTGCAAAAACAGCCTGTTTTGAATTCACTGGTTTTGTGATGTCACACAAACCATCACATTTGCATACACATTCAGCCTATAGCAGCTTGGCCCCACCCACTCACACTGGAGTCAAAAAGAGTGTTTTGACTGATTTATAGATGTGGCACAATACAGAGCAGCCAGTCAGAACACAGCTATTTGCATATATCAGTCTTAAAGGCACAGTAACAAAACATCAGTTAATAGACAGAAGTGGGAATACAGTCATGAAAAAATGAATTAGGATTGTTTTTGGAATATAAAACTAATAAATGTGATGAAAGTGGAAATAAAATGCAAGAAGAATGTAACACACAGGCCCTTTAAGGCTCCACTGGTAATTAAAGCTCAACAGCCATAAACTACAACTCAACTATCTCAAATAACGGTAATATAGAGACCACATATAGAGTCGTTAAAGCAATAAGCCACGAGAGGCTGTGCATTACTGCGATTTTATCACAGGAAGGATGTTCTTAGGCACGACGAGAAGTGGATTAGAACTCCCTTCCCTGTGATAAAATCACAGGAACACACGGCTTATTGCTTTTATAAAACGGTGGTCAACATAAAATACGGTAAAACACAATTTTTCAGAAAATTATTCAAGTTATTATTAATAAAAATGGATATGAACAAGTATTCCGCCAAGAAATGTAGTTCCTTTAGAGTACGGTATCATTGCCAAGCAACCACAGACCACTGAATGAGGAGTTCGGCAGCCCATCGCTGTACACTGCGGTCATTTCGTGAATTTTTAAACTTTTTGTCGTATAAAAGTGAACATATGATAACACGGCACTGTTTAATGCACAAACTTTCACTTTAAGTACTTTTGGTCACTAAATCACCACCGAGAGTCTTATTTAACACCAATCCAGCGGCGCCCTCTTCTCATGCTGGGGCTGAATCTCAAACAGCTCCCTGCTCCCTACATAGTGCACTACATAGGAGTTTAAATACTGGATCCTGGAGCCCAACAGAGCAAAATACAGCTAAGAAACAGTCATCTGGGACTCAGACTCATCCACACTCGATACATGATGCACTGTTTGGCTGTAGAGGCTAGAATTTCTACTCTTCCATAGCTAGAACACTATTTAGGGAGTATGGAGCCGTTTGGGATTCAGTCTGGGTTTGACGCGACTTCTGACTGAAACACGGAAATTTGAAATGTGTAAAACATTCAGGTGACATTTTTAGTCTTTTATACTGCAGTTTTACAGTTAATCACACTGTAAGTGCTTTAATTCAAGCCTGTGATATTAATGATGGAGTTGTTTACAGTCTTGTTTATCTTTTAGCCTGTTAGCTGGCTGACCAGCCTGGTTCTATATAAGAACACAAGCTGAAATCTGAACCATTTCATGCCAAACCACTCTGATTACTCTGTTTACATCTCACACACTGAACTATACAGAGATATTGGAATTAGTCCATGTAGTTGCTGAAAGAAGCCTTAGGATGCAACAGTCGGGTATTAAAGACATTCATTTACTTACTGTTAAATCACTGCTAGAAATAATTTCATAACTACACACTTAAAACGATGGTTCTTCAAGGGTTCTTTAGTAAAACAATGGTTTAGTAAAAAACATTCAGACTGATGGAGAATGTGTTATATATGGTTCTACTAAAGAACCCTTGAAGGACCATCATATTTAAGTGTGTACCATTAAAAAGATGTTAAATGTGTATACGAGGACCAGGAGGCTGGCCTGGCTGACAGCTCCTTGCGTGGTAAATGGTCAATGACCCTTTCACTGAAGCAATCTCTTAAAAAAGCAAAGCTCGCTTTTCTCAGAATCCAGTGGCACGAAGTCTGGAAGGTAAACAGAGATAACTAAGTAACTGTGAACAGCAGGAAACAGACCCCACTCCGAACCCCCCCCCCCCCCCCCCCCCGCACTGACCGGAACTCCAGGATGACTAAAAACACAAAACAATGAGCCAGGAACAGGCCTCTCAGGAAAGGCAGTGTGCTGAGCCGACTGCATATATCTCTCCAGGCAGGACATCTCCTCAAACACACGGCTTCCTGCAGCCGCACGCACAAATAAACCCAACTGACCGCCCGGCGCACACGGGCCGTGACCTCCCAGTCGAGCGATCTTGATGATGTTTGTTTTTGAAAACACTTTTCTTAGTTAAACGTAGGTGAATGTACGATGTATGTCATTGGGCCCAATTACCACTGGGGCTAATTAAGGGGGGTGGGGGGTGGTTTGTGTCTCCTCCACTATTTGAATTCATGTGAGATAATTTTGGGATGGTTGTTGAAAAAAGTGCATAGCTGAGTTACAAAAGATCTCAGGAGTCAATTATTATCCATCCATCCATCATCTAAACCGCTAATCCTTCTGGGTCGCGGTGGGGTGCTGGAGCCTATCCCAGCTGTCATTGGGCGGAAGGCAGGATATGAGTCAATTATTATATTGCTGTTAATTAGTTTTAAAGTCGAACTGAACCCAAAATGGTGGTTGTTTTGTTCAGTTATAGTCAGTAATGATGAAAATATCTGAGTGCCAGCCTGCCCTGGGATCATTCTCAGCACTTCTTGACTGTACTGTGATTGTTTGTTGAATTATGCCATTACAGTTATTAATATTCATAATTTTCTATTCTCAATTATTATCATATTGTCGCTGTCCCAAGAAAAATATCTCAATTTTTTGTGATTTTTACTTTTCTACATCATTTGAACACAACAGCTGTTCTTTATATTCATCAAATTTCATGATGAATGGACCAATAGAAATGCTCCAAAACTGCTTAGAAAAAAGTCTCTTTCCATTGACTTACATTAAAAGATAAGAACATTTTGCTCTCTCCTGTAAAGTTACTATGTTGGAGATACTTGTTTTTCTTTGCTAAAATATACACAGTTACATCCTGCTTTGCACAACTGTCCATACTCTCAGTACCGTGTACTGCCTGTGTTCTGTTTTGTATTTACTGTCTTTTGTATTTATTTACTGTACTGTATTGTCTGCACTGTGTTTATTGTATTGTCTCGCACTTGTGCTCCTGTGTTGGTCCTGGAGGAATGTTGTTTCGTTTCACTGTGTACTTATATATAGAGCTGAAATGACAATAAAGCCTCTTGAACTTGAATTGAACTTAATCAGACTGAGGAGTTTAGTGACACAATGGAAAGGAAAAATGCCTAATATATATATATATATATATATATATATATATATATATATATATATATATATATATATATCAATATGAGTGTAATTTTTGTTTACCCATATATATATATACCTTGTGTGGTTCTTTAGAGAACCATTACATTGCATGTCATAGAACCTTTTTTTCAGTACATATAAAACTCTTTTGCTAGGAGTCATATTGCAATATAACTGTTGGGGGAACATAATATTTAGATGACTACGTTTCCCTTATAAATGAAATAATATTTAATTTCTGCTTTCTTGATTTTATGTCAGCAATGTTATCAATGTGTTCATATCATTCATATTCTATCGTTCTATCGATTAGCATAAAAGACCTGTAAAACCCCTCCACAAAGATATAAATCAGGGGCTATAAGTGACTGCATATCCAAAAATGGCCATCTTTGTATATATTCATATACATATTCAGCTATATAAGTGGGTATATCTGACACACCATTGCTGTCTTATCATTATCATAATCTCAAAACTCAAATATAATTTCTCATATTTCGCATTTTTATACGATTTTAAGCCATAAGCTTTATGTTTCATGGTGAATGGAACAATAAGTCCAAAATGACAATGATAACAAATGATAACATAAAATCTTGTTACATTAACGCACATTAAGCTTGTTCTCTTATTAAGCTGCTGATATGATTCATCAGAATGACTCATTAACGTCTATATCTACTTTACTTTAGTCACATTTGGCACGTATTTATCTTGTGATCCTGAGAACGGCCACAGAGGGAGTGTCCTCCTTTCTAATAACAGGCCGTTTTTTAATCATCAGTTTGGCTCTTGGCCCGTCTTTTTATTCATGTGAGGGACGGTGCATGACATTAGCCTGCCAATTATAGAGCTGATATTATCAACATTTTGATTTAAGAATCTTTCCCACGCTGTCTGCTGCTTTAGCTAATAAACGCTTATATTAAGGATTTTATTATTTATTACTGTGGTAGTAAAAGTCTAAGAAAGTCCTATAGAAGATTCCACCTCCTATAGTCTCAGAACAAGAACAGAGGGCATTTGGTAAAGAAGAGAAGGAATTAAAGCAGAGCAGAAATCTGATAATCACCAACAGACGTGACTGACCGTCCCAATTTTATAGCACAATCCAGGAAAAGCAAACTTCCTGCCCACTGCATTAAGAGGTAACACTGAACTTGGTAAGTGCATAAATAAGTACATACAGTTTCAGGAGCTGATTAGGTTCTAATATTATCACCAACCTCCCGATACTGATTTATCATAATTATTTTGACTTTTTTAGCATAATTTGAAAGCTCCTTTAATGTTTACTGTGTTTAACCTGTTAAAATCAATCGTGTTGTATATAAAAGAGTCTATCTGAAGCATTAAAGATGCGATATAGGCAACCAAGGTATCATATTAAAGCTCAAAATCTCTACTTTTCATCCATTTTGCCATTTTATCTTTAATTACATAAGAAAAATAAATATTTTGGTCACAAAATACCTTGCCATGAAAGTTTTTATGCCAAAATATTAGTTACAGTATGAACGTTCATAGTTTTCGCAAAGGCATTCTTTGGCCAGTGTGGACATATTATACATCAAATGAACAGGCTAAATGTCAGGATTATGATGATGAAATCATCGTATTTTGATCATTACAAATTCATTTCAATATCTTTAAATGTTTTCAATTACACATTTGAAGGATTTTCAGTAACATTACAGCAGGAAGTTCCCTCTATTTTACCTACCGCTTGAGTAAAAAGCCTAAGATTTGGATGGAATTTCAGGTGGAAAGTGGAAAAAAGGGCTGGAGTGTTAAGTGGTTAAAGTTCATGAGCCAAAATTACTTGGAATTGTTAGATTAGCCTCCATTATGAGTTAATAATATTTGGAAATGTAATATTGTTCTTCTATAAAATTAGTGTTTTGGAGATATTGGGTTTTGGTCCAACAACGACAACAAAGTTCCAGCTGTTTACTGATGAAATTCATCTTGATATATGGATTTATGCTATGTATGTGCTGTCACCGTCACAGCAAAACCTTGTAATGTACATGAAATATGGCAGTTGTCATTTATATTATATGAATATTTGGTCCAAAATTACACAGAATAAAATCTTAGTCACTTTAACGCACATTTTTCATTCTACTATAAACCATTTTGGAAACACAACATTTTGTTATGATATGTTCATATAATTGCTAGAAATAATTCTCCATACAGTTCTTGTAGTTGCTCACTGCAGTTCTCACCTGTATGGATCTTCTTCAGTGAAGATGAACCCTAATAATTATTGCATTATGCAAATTTATGCCAGTTCTACCAAGTTCTTCTCACTGTACTTACTTTAGTTCCTACTTACTTACTGATGTTCCAGAACTGCGGACCTCTTAATCCTCTTCGAGACCACCTCTCTGCCGGCCGAGTATTTTCTTATGTTTCAGGTTTTAATCCTTAACTTGGCGCGCGGATCCCTTCACTTTGTCAAAACTCGACTAAATCCATGGAATTCATGCAGACAGTCCTGCTCTTTTCACCTGTTTGACTGTGTTATTTCAGATATTCTCAGGTGCGACTGGTACGTCAGCAGCCTCTGGTGAGTGATTGAGTGGTGCCACTGCTGGTCGGCCTCCTCTCTCTCCCTCTAACGGAAAACTCTGCTTTCCTCCTCTTACTCTCTCCCTCCTTTCCTGCCTTGCTCCTTCCTTCCTTTGACGATGTCCTGCTCTGGCAGGGCGTATATATCTCCCCTCCCACCTCTCTCCTGGGCTTGGGTCCACTCCTGGTTGGGTTAGATAGGGTATTTGGACATAGAGGTCCAGATGATTCCATGATAACTACAGCTCTTAGAGCCCAGAGCTCACCACTCTGCACTCTGGAATGTTCTGTCCATTCGCAGTTGCTTGATTTGGATTGTCAGTTTTTTCTCTAAACACTCTGATGTCAAATGGCAAGACCATAATGTTGGTGTTTGGTGGAATGTTTGGTGTTTGATGAAGGATGTTGGTGTTCACTGGTGGATGTTGGTGCTGGAGAATGTTGGTGTTTTTTGGAGAATGATGAGGTTTGGTGGAAAATCACAGTGGAGTAGACTCATGGTGTTTGTTGGCAAATGATGAGCCCAGAGGACGCTGACCTAATGATGTTCTCTCAAACATCAAAATTAGTATTTTTTTGGGTCTAGGATGTTCCCTTGCAGTTGTGCTGGTTCATTTGTTTTAACTGTTCTTGAATTAAAGCATAAAGCAGACTGCCAACATTAGAATGTTGGTGTTTATTGGGGCAGATTGGGTCAGTAGGCACTGGTGAAATGAATATTGTCCAGAATAATAGAGCTTATGTCTACACTACAATTCTTCAACACCATTCTCCAACACACACCATCATTATCCACCAAACGTCACCATTCTCCAACACCATCATATATAACAAACACCACCCTTTTCCAACAAATATCACCATTCTCCAACAAACACCAGCATTCCTCCAAAAGACACCATTTTCCACCAAACCTCATTTTCCCAAAAAACACCATAATTTTCTACCAAACATCGCCATTCTCCAACAAATACCACCATTCTCCAACAAACACCAGCATTCCTCCAAAAGACACCATTTTCCACCAAACCTCATTTTCCCAAAAAACACCATAATTTTCTATCAAACATCACCATTCTCCAACAAATACCACCATTCTCCAACAAACATCAGCATTCCCCCAAAAAACATATTATTTTCCACCAAACATCACCATTCTCCAACAAATACCACCATTCACCACCACACATCACCATTCCCCAACACCATCATTCTTCAACAAACATTACGATTCTCCAACAAATACCATCATTCTCCAGCAAACACCATCACTTTCAAAGAAAAACCACCATTCCCCCAAAAAACACCATTATTTTCCATCAAACATCCTACAAACACCATCATTCTCCAACGAACACCATCATTCTAATGTTTTTATTAGATGTTAGGTTGTTACAAAGAGGGAGAGTATTATTTATTATATGTTTTAAAGATGCACCAACTATCATCTAAAATTGTTTGGCCTTATTTGGGGAGGAACAGTCATGCTTCCGCCTACTGTGACATTACCTTGTCTTCTTTTTCTCCAAGGCTACTCATGGACTAGAAGTTCTCATCTTAGAAGAAGTCTAAAATAAACATGCCTAGAGGTTTAATGGTGTCAGTTGTGTTAAATTTATGTCCAATTTTTTTTTGTCTACAATGTTCCTTCCTATTTGCACTGGTTCATTTGGCTGCCTGAAGAGTATAAAGCTGACTGCTAAATAAAAACACTGGTGTTTGTTGGGGCAGGTTGGGTGAGTGAGCACTGGGGAAATGGATGTTGTCCAGTCCAGAATCTCTGAGGTGATGTCTGTATCACTCGTTTTCAACACTTCAAGCACGTGTAACAGTAGTTAGTGACAACGACATTTGCATGATAAAACAGGAAACACACATCATTTCTTTTCATTGTGTTTAATAATTGAGGTTGAAGATCAGGAAAAGTAAGCGCTCATGACTTATGAACAAAAACAACGAGAGGAAAATGAGTAATAAAGAATATCTGCAGGGTTTTCACACCTGTTCTGAGCTGGAAAGCACAGACCTCAGTACAGAAATCGCTGAGTCAGATTAGGCATTACTCAACAGGCTGCAGGAGGAGAAGTGAATCACAGGGTTAGGAGTAAAATAAAATGTTTTAACCTTTAATTTATTCAATTGCTGTACCTTATTAAATCTTTTTCCAGTTCCTCTATCTCACTAAAATATGTGAGACTCAGCCAAGTCTGCTAATTGTGTAAGACCAATCCTTACATCACTGCCAGCACATTCCCGCTCCTAACTCAGCACTGAAGAGAAGTGGAGAAGATAAGGAATCTCTATCAAAGGTGGAATCTGCAGAGAGCGGGAAGAAACAGATGAATCAAAAAGTGAAATCCAACAAAAAAATGCTGCTGACATTAAAAACACTCCCACAGGAACGAGTTTGACTCTGAGTGTTACCAAAAGCTGCTCTGATGAAAAGAACCTTAAAAGACACTTGAAGAAACCATGGGCACTTAAGCTAACTCAGCTAAAGGATTCTGCTAAGGCCCTTCCACGCCTAATGCACCATCATTCTCCAACAATCATTCTCCAACAATCATTTTCCAACAATCACTTTCCAACAAACACCATCATTCTCCAACACCATTATTCTCCAACAATCACTTTCCAACAGTCACTTTCCAACAAACACCATCATTCTCCAACACCATTATTCTCCAACAATCACTTTCCAACAATCACTTTCCAACAAACACCATCATTCTCCAACAATCACTTTCCAACAAACACCATCATTCTCCAACAATCATTTTCCAACAATCACTTTCCAACAAACACCATCATTCTCCAACACCATCATTCTCCAACAATCATTTTCCAACAAACACCATCATTCTCCACCAAACACTATAATTCAACAAATACTTTTGTTCTGCACCAAACACCACCATTCTCCAACAAACACCCATTAATCTCCAACACCATCATTCTCCAACAATCATTTTCCAACAAATGCCTATTATTCTTCACCAAAAACAATCATTCTCCAACAATCATTTTTCAACAAACACCTGCCATTATCCACTAAATGCCACCATTCTACAGCAATCATTTTCCAACAAACCCATCATTCTTCACCAAACACTGACATTCTTAACCAAACACCATCATTCGCCACCAAACACCATCATTCTCTACCAAATACCATCATTCTCCAACAATAATTTACCACAAACACCATCATTCTCCAACAATAATTAACACAAACACCATCATTCTCCAACAATAATTTACTACAAACACCATCATTCTCCAACAATAATTTACTACAAACACCATCATTCTCCAACAATAATTTACTACAAACACCATCATTCTCCAACAATAATTAAAACAAACACCATCATTCTCCAACAATAATTTACCACAAACACCATCATTCTCCAACAATAATTAAAACAAACACCATCATTCTCCAACAATAATTTACCACAAACACCATCATTCTCCAACAATAATTTACTACAAACACCATCATTCTCCAACAATAATTAACACAAACACTATCATTCTCCAACAATAATTTACTACAAACACCATCATTCTCCAACAATAATTAAAACAAACACCATCATTCTCCAACAATAATTTACTACAAACACCATCATTCTCCAACAATAATTAACACAAACACCATCATTCTCCAACAATAATTTCTCAACTACTACAAACACCATCATTCTCCAACAATAATTAACACAAACACCATCATTCTCCAACAATAATTAACACAAACACCATCATTCTCCAACAATAACTTACTACAAACACCATCATTCTCCAACAATAACTTACTACAAACACCATCATTCTCCAACAATAACTTACTACAAACACCATCATTCTCCAACAATAATTAACACAAACACCATCATTCTCCAACAATAACTTACTACAAACACCATCATTCTCCACAAAACATCATCATTCTAGTGTTGACATTTACCTTTAGGGGAATCTAAAGTCTAGACTCCCCTAAAGTCTAATGTCAACATTAGAGAACATTTTAGAAACTCACCACCAACATCTAAATTTGTTTGTTTTCTCTTTGGTGTGGGCGGGCCGAGCGTTTGTGTGCTGTGACCTTAACAACTTTGTCTTCTTCATTCTCCTAAAACCCTGAAGGAGGTTCTCTTCTGCCTGAGATCACATAGAACAAGTCTTAAATAAAAATGAATAGAAGTTTAATGAGGTTCACAAGCCACGTACAGCAGTGCAGCGGGTCAACGTGAGTTCTGACTGAGATGCTGGACCACCAGCTTGCTGAGGAACCAGGTGGTCTCCATCTGCATTCCTCGCTTTGACTTCATCCCCTTAATAACACAGAAACTTAGAGTACACTTGTAAAAGTAAAGGTGACATGAGGACTTTTTTGGAGAGATTCCATAGAAGAACCACTTTTGGTTCCCTAAAGAATCATTGAATAAATGGTTCTTTAAGGAGCCGTTAATGTAGTGTTTGCGGTTTGTAGTATCATCATAATGTTAAGGTTCCAGGTCAGGGCTGTCTGTGCGGATGTTTAATTTGGCACCGCCAGAGAGCTACCCTAACCCCACCCCCTCACCCCCACCCAACAAGAGAACAATGTATTCAACAGTTTAGGCACCCCAGCCAAATTACATTTTGTAGATTTTCTAAGTGACACAAATAACACTTCTGCACAATTCAATGCACAATCAATGTTTATTTGCTGATTTTAAAGGTTTAGGAGGATCTATTAGCAGAAATGGAATATAGTTACAAAACCATGTTCTCATTGGAGTATAATCACCTGTTACAAATGGAGGGTCAGACTTATTACTTAGTACAAGAAAAAGCAATATAGGGTGAATCCTCACCGTCAAAGAAGAGAAAACATGAAGAAGCAAAACGAAATCGAGACAGACGACGGCAGAAATGCTGACGGCCACCGTACGTTCTACTACATGCTTGGAAAGGGAGGGGTGAGGGAGGCTGCAGTCTGTAACCGCTCCACTAGATACCACTAAATTTTGCACACTGCACTTTTAATTTATTGGGAGCTCTGTTAAAGTTGTGCTCTTTTGTTATTTGTTATTATTTTTATTTTTTAGCAACCAGCTACTGTAATGAACTGTCCCAGCAGGTCAGCGTAGCTGGTCAGTCTAAAGGCCGTGTGAGGTTTAGTTTTAATGTGACTCTAATGAGCTGAAATGTCTTATATTGGGACAAAGAAGAAAAAGAAAAGATGGATGAATGAAATGAATGTTTATGTTGTAATTAAGAGCCCATTAATTCAAATGTTATGTATTTACTTACCTTTAAAGCTTAATATGTATGAAATGTAAGACAGTAAGATTTTTTAAAGAGCTGTAAGACGACAGGCAGAGTTTCACCAACATGTTTTCATGTTTCATAAAGTTTTATAAACTTTTCCTGAAGTCACTGAGCAGAGCAGCGACACGACAGAGAAGCAGAATCTGATTGGTCCTGGTGTGTGTATTCGAAGTGCTGATTGGCTCACAGATAGAACCTTACAGAACTAAGTTAGAGTTTGACTTTGGAGATAGAACCTGTTTGTTTTCTAGATAAAGAGTCCAAAAATCCAGACAACTTAAAAAAAACCTAAGATAATTTCAAAAAGTCACAGAATAAGAATGTGAATAACTCAATTTTGACCAAAATGTCAGATAGAACCTCGTAATTCCAAGGGAACAGTTTAATTCATTTTTGTAGACACATATCGTTACTGAAAAAAGTTGGCTGCACTATATATAAACTAAAAGTTTCTCCTTGAACTGTACTTCAAAGCCAAGAAGCACTTAGGAGCTTTTATTTTTAGCAGTGTAAGATTTCACCCAGAAGAACCATAAAATGGATTGCTTTTTAAAAAAGTGGGAGTCGGCCTTCATTCGGAGCTCGGGAACGGTGAAGGCAGGAACAAGAGAACGTTAAGGGGGAAATCCTGAGAGTCATGAAGGAGGAAGACCTGATTTCCTGTCCTTGGAACCAGGATATCCGCCGGCCCGTCTGCAGAGGGCGCCAAGGTGTCACCCCAGAGTTATTCTCTCTCTGTCTCATGACCCCTGCGGTGACCCCTACAGGAGCCACAGCTGGCAGAGGAAACCTCTTGTTTTCTGCGTAAAAATAACTTGCGGAAAAGAAGTATGGGGAACAACCGAGCTGTGAATTTATCAAAATGTTTTTTATTTCTTTTTTTTTTTTTGTCATAGTTATTATTATATCAATTATGACACACAAAATCACACGAGTGTTTAAGACAGGTCTGGCTCAGTTCATCATTTTCAATTTTCTTTCTTTTTTTTTCTTTCTTTCTTCCTTTATACAGTAAAGAAGTCATAAAACTCAAAAATGGAATAAACCTGACAAACACACTCAGAGAGGAGTGGACAGAAAAAACCAACCACAGCTCGTCGAAATCTGCAGGTTATAATCATAAAAGGATCGTACGGAACAGCAAGTATGATAGTCGTCATCCACACGTATCACAACATCTCGTATTTTCATGTAATGTAACGTAAAAACAAAACTCTTTTTTTCAATCTGTAGGATACAGTACAAAGACATTCAGGGCATAAAGGTGTACAGACTCTGTTCTAAGCACCAAGCTGTGAGATTAATGTTATATTCATGTACGTAACTTCTCTAGATCATATACACTGAGCGGCAGGCCGGGCGAGGGGGATCGAGCACCATTTAGAATCAGACGTCCCCCTCCTGGACCTCGGCGCTGCCCAAACGATAGCACGATTTTTATTTTTTTTTTAAAAAAAAAAAGGAACAGAAACAAAAACATTTACAAAATCTGGACTTCCCTCGTTTAGGAGGAGCACCATGTATCTTCAATAAATACGCCAGAAGCAGTCGAATAAATAAAACCACAAGATTTCAGGAATTCAGTTCTGAGAACAAACAAAAAAAAGGAGAATCAAGAAGAATAAAATCATTCGAAAGATGAAAGAATGGAAACGATAGGAATGATTTTTTTTGTTTTCAGATAATGATAATAATAATAATATTAATGATCATAATACAAAAAATAAAAAACTCCACTGAAACACTCACGGTTTTCTAGACAAATGCGAATACGTCTCTGGATTCAACCCGTATTTTTGGAGAGATTTGTGACGTGTACTTTATTGTTTAGCTAATATGCTTAATGCTCTGAGAAATATGCAAATTTTCTGCCTTTATTTATTTATTTGTATTTTTTTTGTCGTCTAAATACAAGTCACAAGGCCAAAACGGTGTAGCTGTAGGCTGTTAAAAAAATTTTTAATATTTTTTTTTTTTTTAGTTGAATACCTTTGTAAATTTTTGAAAAGAGAACAAAATAGCACCCGGATAAATATGCAAAACAGCATTTACAAAGATTAGAGTCGTAGTAAATATGACAGCACAACGAAAACAACAATGACGACAACAAAACAACGATAAAAATGAATTAAAAAAAACACCCGAAATAATGCCACTGTCGTAATTAGCATTAGCTCCTTCAGCGGAGAGCTGCTGTTTCGTGTCGTATCAAAGCACCACTTGTTCAGCAAAATCCGAGACACCGAATAACCAGACGGGGAAAAAAAAACCTCCGCAGATTTGCATAAATGTAAACTACAATAGTACCTGAATTAATTCACGTGTTGACTCCGCCTACTTTCTATTCTTTTTTTTTTTTCCTTTAAATATTGACAAAACAAAAATCACAGCAGTTTCCTCTGTGGAACGTTTTTCTTAAACACAGTTCACATTACGAGTCCAGTGTGCACCGGGTTCGAGTCTGTGGCACCTCGCGAGTCATTCTGAAGACTCTGTGACGCTGAGCGTCCCGTCAGTAGAGCTGGTGGAGGAAGACAACCGAGCCGGAGACCTTCTGCTGATGCGCTGTCTGTAAACAGTACTGAGTAAACAGCTTTGCTGATTGGTAACGCAGAGAGAGTTTGCAGTAGTGGTTGTGGAAAAATAAATACAACAACAAACAAAAACAAACCAAAAAAAAAAAAACCAGAGAACTGAAAGTTGGCACTGCTGCGGACGAGCAGGGATTTGGTTATGGCTGTGACATCACACGTCGGCTTCACTTAGGACACGGCGAGGGAGCCTGAAAGAGAGAGAGACAGTAATAGTGGGCGGCGTGGCCGGGAAGGATTACAGTCGTGTGCAAAAGTTTGGGCGCCCCGGTCAAATTCCATGTTTTTTTGTTGACGTTAAATAATACATAAATATTAAAATAGTTAACACGACCTCTACAGAAAACACACTTTAATGCCCAATTGCTGCATATTTGCCGAACACAGCACACGTAAAATGTGGCCTGTGCAAAAGTCATGGCACTGCTACATTTTAGGTTTTGATAAACGCAGCAAATGAATTTTAATTGAGCCCTAATATTTTTTGTCATGTTTAAGTTCCTGTAGAGGATGTGTTAACATATTTTCATGGTTAAAAAAAATATTTTGACCAGGGTGGGGGGTGTTGGGGGTTGTTTTGGTATTCAAAGTTTTGCATACGACTGTAAAAAACAGTTTAATTCCGTTTTTTTTCGGCGGTTTCGGTGCATCAAGGGATTGTGTATTTATGTTTTTTTGGATGCTTCATTAAACCTGTTTTTGTATATTAACAGCAGCGTATTACTCTATGACTTCCCTTCACTTTTAATAAGAACCACGATTAACTGAAGAACATCTACAACATTTTTATTGTGAAAAACAAAGTGAACAATGCATAGACTGATGTCAATATTGCTCTTAATGCCTAAGGAGATAAAGGCCATTAGTGGCTTCTCTAGGTCAGCAAAACTGGTGCTAAATATTGTTGCCTGAATTATCTATGAGCATCAGATGCTTCTGTAATTTGGTAAATATTACAAGCCATTCAGGCTATCTATATTTCCTCCCTCTGATTTAAGACGTTTGATAAGTATTAAGCTATTTAAAAAATGTGCTAAAAATCTGCCAACATAGCGTTTAACTCTATTACCTGTTTTGCATCCTTGTTTTGTGTTTGTGTTTTATTGATTTTGTTTAACATGTTTTATAACTAAGCACTTTTTAATGTTGCCCTGTTGGTGTTTTTGCCTTTGTGAGATCGACTTCCTGCCCAGGGACAGCAGATTTGGCCAAATCTGGCACATTTACTGTATGCTATAATGATGTTGGGTCATGCGTACCGTCCCTGCTAAACAAAGGAAAAGTGTTAGCCGAGAAGCTGCGGAGCCTCTCAGCTCATTTCCAACTGGAATAACTTACCTCTGCAACTCACTACACAGATGGTGAGAGTGTGTGTTTTGCACTAGGTAAACAAAACTCATACCTTAAGAAGAAATTCAATCTGTATACTGGACGAACTACCGGATGAGCCGGTATATCGTCCACTACTAAGAGAAAAAGCATGTTTTAGCATGTCAGAGATTTATGGGTTTGTTTTTTTTATGAGTTTAGCTAAGACCCTGTTCACACCTGGTATTAACATCCAGCTTGAACTATATATATATATATATATATATATATATATATATATATATATATATATATATATATATATAGGGGGTTTTGTTCTGACAGCAGCGATATATATATATATACATATATATCGCTGCTGTCAGAAGAAAACCTCGTATCTCCAAAATGGTAACTTTACAGGAGAAGGAAAAAACATTTTATTTTTAATGTAAGTCAATGGAACCAGTGGAACCAATGGAACTTATTTCCAAGTAATTTTGGGCCGTTTCTTTTGGTCCAACAGGCATTTTCAAATGTCAAAAACTGAAAAATGATAAAAATGGTGATGGTTTTCTTCCGACAGCAGCGACATGTATATATATATATATACAGGGTGATTCAAAAAGATTCATCTGATTTCAAAACGATGTATTTTATTTATTTTAAGTCATTACAGAACAACGCAGTAAATTGTAAACGGTTTAACACTTTCTGCTCAGGGGTCTCATCTCCTCTCAGACTGAAGGGAGCCATCTTCTGGTGTCAGTCAGAAACTCTATGACCCCCTCTTTCAGTTGGTATGTGATTGGTTCCTATGCGCCTCTCGGTTGTAAAAATATGGTGCTTTGAAATTTGATTTTTGAATCACCCTACATATATATATACTATATATATATATATAGTGATGACATCACTTCTTTATACACCACAATATGAAGCCATTTTGTTGCCATATTGGTGCCCCTTCACTGCTCAGTTTTCACACTGTGTGCTGTGGCAAGACATTTAATTTCCTTTAATTTTATGACAAACCTACACACTTACAAAAAGATGGTTCATCAAGGGTTTCTTTAGAAGAGAAAATGGTTCTGTATAGAACAAAGAACTCTTTGTGTGATTAAAGCGTTCTTTGCATCATGGAAGAGTTTTTCAGATTGATGGAGAATGTGCTGTAGATGGTTCTATACAGCACCTTCCATTGTTACAAGCTTGACATCAAACAAACAGATGCCTTTTGGTGCTATATAGAATCCTTTCCAAAACAGTTCTATCTAGAACCATCTACAGCACATTCTCCATCAATCATGATGCAAGGAATTCTTTTAATCACACAAACGGTTCTTTGAGTGTTCATGATTCTATATAGAGCCATTTTCTTTACTAAAGAAGCTTTGATGAACCGTCTTCTTTAAGAGTGTAGGCTATCCGAGCCATTATTTATAGAGATGGATGTAGCAATTTGAATATATGGATATCCGAACTCATCAGTGTTCATACAGACTAGTTGGGGTATCTAAAAAAAGCATGTGTTGTTTAGAATCAAAATGAATAAATAAACTGTGCATAAACTTTGCACAGTAATTATGAAATGTTTACATTAAGACAGCAACTTAGAACTGCAGTAAGCGCATAAATGCCCATAACTTGTTTGCAGTCACAAGCTGCATATATATGAAGGAAAATGTCTGCAAACATACTAAATATAACCTTTGTAAGAGTGTAGTTCAGATTTTAAGTTGAAATATTTTCTGACAAACTCACAAAACTAAGAATTAGTAACATGTATGTCTTGCCAGCTCCTTATTTACGTAGTGGATTTGACGTAAATAGTGCTAAATCCAGTGCAGAGAAGTGAAAGCACACTCCTGCTGCTAACGTTACGCACTGACTCCAATAGAGGCGCTAGCGAAAATGAGCTTTATTGTAATGGTAGATGACTTCAAAGTGCATTAGATTGTGAAAGAAAACCAAGACGTTATAAATCAATGCAGGTCTATAGGGAGCACTTTCTTTCAGAGTATGTGCTGCATAAGCGGCGGCTTCAGTAGCGGCCCTCTGTAAGCAGTCTAGATATACACCGACCGTCCACTTCATTAAGTCCACCTCCTTGTTTCTACACTCACTGTCCATTTTATCAGCTCCACTGACCATAGAGGAGCACTTGGTAATTCTACAGCTACAGACTTTAGTCCATCTGTTTCTCTGCATACTTTGTTGGGGCATGGTAGAAGTGTCTAATAGAGTGGACAGTGAGTGGACACAGTGTTTAAAAACTCCAGCAGCACTGCTGTGTCTGATCCACTTGCACCAGTGCAACACACCACCATCACGTCAGTGTTACTGTGGTGCTGAGAATGATCCACCACCCAAATAGTACCTGCTCTGTGGGAGTCCATAGGGGTCCTGACCACTGAAGAACAGGGTAACAAAGTATGCAGAGAAACAGATGGACTACAGTCTGTAACTGTAGAACTACAGAGTGAAACTATATGGTCAGTGGAGCTGATAGAATAGACAGTGAGTGTAGACACAACGAGGTGGACTTAATGAAGTGAATCGTCGGTGTATATATCTTTGTTCTCAAGTGATCTGATCATAAGTGGACAACACTTATGTTTACACCTGGCATTTCCATGTGTCTCAAATGCGCCTAAATTAGATTTAATCTCCTGCTGTGCTTGTTGTTAGAAAAAAAGTCCTGTAAGTCCTTTTTCAAGTAAAAGTGTATAGACCGCACGGACTGCTAGCATATAAAGCGTTCACTCAGTGTGCATTTAGAATTCACACGAATGAAAGTTTTGTGGCCTTGATGGCCTCTGAAGACACACCGGACTCTGTTTACACCTGTATTTAGCGCTGTTTACCCAGGCTGGCTATCATTATAAAATTTTGGATATGAATACTAATACTCTGATTTCAGTATCATTTCTTGAGCAATACTTATTCTATATGTTCTTGTAACCTTTTTTCAAAGCAGCCATAATATGCAAATTTTGAACCTCACTTATTTTTTTCTTAAATAATGTTGGAAATGCATATGATTTACAAAACCGGAAGTGAACTGGATTTTCGTTTTCGTATGTCAGTCAACATTTTATAAAAGTGTTCTTATTTTATTTAAATGCCATTTTTTATTTTGCCCTCTGTTAAGGACTGTTTGATATGAACAAAGCTGCACTTTTATTTTGGCATGGCTGTCTTAGTGGAGAGGTGTGAATTGTTTTTCACAGCAGGGGGTTCTCACCCCTCCCTTTCGCCCCTCATTGCTCACTAGCAGCTCAACAACATTTCATACACTGAGAAACAACAGCATCATCCATCTGATCGGAGAATTATGAGGAAAAAATATTTTATTTGATTATATTAATTACACATATTTGTGTTTATTTACATCCTGTTAGTTAACAGACTGGATGTGGGTGTGGCTTGAACTAGAAACGAGTGAGAAGTGCTGGAAGTGGGTTTATCTACTTACTGAAACAGGTTGCTGAGCGGTCAAGAATCACTGATGTTAATAACGTGTTTACAGAACGTAATTTAGACAGCCAATCAGCAGTCAGGATTTTGGAACAAGCATGCTGATTGACGCTGGCAAGACTGACTACTTAGGCACTGAAATTTGGTATTGAGTGACAGAATTTCTCTATATTTTTGGTGCTATTTAAGTAATTCGATCGGAACAATCGGACACCTACCCCCCACTGTCCACTTATGAACAGATCACCCAAGACACATGTTAATGCCAGGTATGAATTGGGCCCAATTATGAAATACATTTTTAGGTTAAACAGACAAAATATTATTTCCATTGTCGACTGTCTGACCAAACTGATGTTAGTGGAAGCGCTCAGAAGTTCATTATTGGCCACTTTATCAGAAACCCCTCTCTTGTAGCTTCACCTTGCTGCTGTACAGACTTAATATGATGATTCTTCAAGGGTTCTTTAGTAAAGAAACCAGTTCCATATAGAACCATGAACACTCAAAGAACCCTTTGCATGATTAAAGGTTCTTTGCATCGTGAAAGGATTCATCAGATTGGTGTAGAATGTGCTGTAAATGGTTCTATATGGAACCTATATAGCACCAAAAAAGGTTCTATTGTGACAAGCTTGACATCGTACCAGTAGAAGAACCCTTTTTGGTACTATATAGAACAATTTTCAAAAAGAACCATCTATAGCACATTCTCCATTTGTCTAAGGAACACTTTCATGATGTGAAGAACCATGCCAAGGTTCTTTGAGTGATCAAAGTTCTATATAGAACCATTGGTACCACTTTAAAATAAGACTACCTTCATAAGTTCATGGATGGTTTAAAATGGGTTTATTAATGGTTATAAATCCTTAAAATCATTAATAAGCATTTATAACACTTAAATAAAAAGGGCAACAGTGACCTGTTTGTTTGCCTAGTAGTGAAACCTTCATTTATACAGTTAAACCTCCGATTTAATGTTTACCGCTCTTCATCTTCTTCATCAGTCAGCATTAAATGTCAGCTTCACCTCATTTTCATATTAATCAGTTATAACAGCTCACTTTTGCCCTTTTTATTAATGTTATAACTGCTTATTAATGATTAATAAAGTGTTATGACGTAACTAATAACCATTACCAAACTATTATTAAAACATTCATAAACCCTTTCTAAGCATGGTCTTATTTTCCTTTGTTACCAAGGAAACCCTGAAGAACCATCATTTTTAAGTGTGTACAGTTAGAGATTGTAGCTCATCTGTTGATGCACAATTTGCATCTTCTAGCCCTTCCTTAACGGTCATTTTCTGACCTGCTGGATATTTTTAGGGCTGACACACTGTCCAGCAGCAGATGGGCTCCAGTCTGTAACCGTACACCTACAACATGCACCTATATGGTACGTGTTTCCGATAAAATGGCCAAAAAGTGAAGCAACTCTGTAGGGGCTTCTGATAAACCGGCGAATCAGTGTAAGTGTTCGTGTCTATCTCACCAGGCTGAAGTTATCGTATGTGCTCATTAGCTCCTCCACTCTGTACTGCTCCAGCACCACCACTCCGCCCAGGCTGGGGCTGCGCTGCCGAGCGCAATCCTCACAGTGCACCACGTACGTCTTCCTACTGCTGCTCTCGCTGGTCACGAAGAGCAGGTTGAACACCTCCACCTGCACAAACACACACGGCTGCTGTTATGCAACGTCAATCATGGAGGTCATGCATACAGTGCTGTGCAAAAAAAGGGTGAAACAGCGAAAAGCAACAAGAAATTCTTGTTTTCAGAAAAGTTCTTCATATCTTATGAGCTAGTTTGAAGTTCCCAGGTTTCTCGCTGCACTCCAGTCATTGCATAAACTGGTTAGATTCCAGTCACCTGATTTAAATTAATGAAGTATTCATTAGATTAGACCAGGTATTAGACGATAACTCAAATAATGCTAGGATGCCACAAGAGGTTTGGAAATGAACACATGGACAGACATAAAATCATTACTTATTATATGAATATAATTTGTGTTTATTTTAATATTAGTGTTTTTCTGAGCAAATAAATGCTTATTATCCAGTTAAATAGCCTTTTAAATATAGATTCCTATGTAAAACGTGCACAATCTTGTATATCTCATATGTAATATATATCTGCAAATGTTTATATCAATAATGTATCCAACATGTGTTATAGGTATGCAAATATTTATATGTAGTAATAATGTGTCCAACATGTATTATATATCTAAATACCTATATGTAACAATAACATATCCAATGTGTATTATAAAAATGTAGCTTCTTATATGTAATAATCATATGCCCCATGTATTTTTATATATATATATTGCATATAGGTACTTATTATTATTATTACAAATCTATATATAATAACATGGCCCATTTATAATATATATGTGTAATAAGAATTTATGAATCTGTTTACTTGGTCAGTAAGTGTTTATTTTCTCAAAAACACTAACACTTGAATAAATAAAAACAACAATAATACAATAAGCAGTGATTTTTAATGCAATTAAATTTCCAAACCTCTTACTAACCCAGTATTATTTGTAGTTATCATCCAGTGTGTGGTTTATCTAATAAATCCTTCATTAAATTAAATCAGACACCGCTGATGGGATTTAAATAATCCATGTGGTGTCTGTGTAAGACTGTATATACTGTAAAAGTGTGAAGAACAGAAGAACACATTTCCCCCTCACGTTTACTGTTGTTGTGAAGGTAACTGAAGTTAATCATTAACTCTGGGCTTGTTCTGTTATGGTATTATTGGCAGAGATAGGTATAATAAAGCACATGTGTTTGTTACTATGAGTGCTTGTAAAACCTCAGACACGTGCACTGCAGATCAGAGCTGGGCGTGTAACTCACGTCGCACTCGTTGCAGTAGTAGGCCGGTTCATCCTTCACTCGGCTTTGGTAGAAGATCTTTTTCCCTGCTGCTATCAGCTGGTCCCGCAGGATCTGGATATGCTTCATGGATTGCAGGAGGCAGTGCCTGCAGGAGGAACAGGACAGGGTCATTCAAACCAGCCCAAACACACGCACGCACATACATACATGCATACATACGTATGATATGAATAGACATTTGTCAGTTTGCAATAACTTCCCATGTCAAAGCCTAAATCAGTTTATTTAGAGGACTAAGAGGAATAAAGCCAAATGCCACACCTATTTTTACTGATCTTTTTTCTAATCTCTCTCATACTTTATTCTAACTTATGTCTAATTCTTATATCTGCCTAATTTATGTCTGTTTTTGTTTCAATTTTTATTTCTACCTAATATATGTACGTTTATGTGCAATTATATGCTACGGTAACACTGCAAGTTGCCTTTGTGATCAATAAAGTTCTATTTGTTTGTCTATCTATCTATCTATCTATCTATCTACCTAAACCTTTCAAGTGAAAATATTCAAATCATAATTTTTATGCAAAACCTCCTCAAGGAAGACAGTTGAAGATAAAAATATACTCAAAGGAGTATCACATATCTGCTTTAGGCTAACCCAACATTTGCAAATATTTGTTCTTGTTTAATTAACAAAACAGTAAGAGACAAAGTCAAACATTACTCATTACCCATTTCCAAAGAAAGCAGTGTCCCCAAACTTTTGAATGCTTTTCAGAATGTGGAGGTGTCAGATTTAGCATCTGATTTTGCTCTCTGGGAATTCTTCATGAATCACGTCTTACTACAACGCGGACCCTAAAATTACTGTTTTCCATCCGGCAGCACAGAAACAAGCCTCTACACAAATACGCTGAACTCACCTGATCATTTTGTAAGTGTTCGGGTCTGTTATCTTGATTGTACGGGCGACATTCCAGGAGACATGAATCATGGGAACAATAGACTTGACCTTTTTGACCTCGTTCCACTCGAAGCGCTCCAGAGCAAGCTGATACTGGTACGCTGGGAGGACAAACACGCACATGCAATTTACTCAGAAACAGAACACACACGGATCCCACGAGCCAAACGTAAACCAAGCATATCGTAAAAGCAATCTCATTTTTTACGGAAACCTCTCTCACCTAGAGCTCAACTGCAACTAAGCAAAGCTGGAACCTCAATAAGCATCACATATGTCCCTTTCAGCTAAATTCATCTTCTGCACCAACACAAAACATCTCGTTTACTGACATGTAGTTTTATCCAGAATATTTCACTCGTCTTTATTTTATTACATTTGATAAAACTCAGCATTTTGTGATGAATGAACCAACAGAAATGGTCAAAGTTTTATTTCAATGGCAGCAACTATATGTAAAGTTACATAAAAGGACGCTTGAGACTTATCAACTCTAGCACCCCCTGGTGTACACAGTCAGTACTCACAGTTGAGAGGGCCCACGTTCCAGGCAATGTTGTTGCACCAGCCCACGGCCTGCACCCAGTGCACAGTGCCGGCATTGATCCACACCAGGTCTCCTGGGCGCTGGATGAAACGGTACACGGGGATGTTGGCCTGGTACAGATCTTCTAGAACAGGCCACCATGAGCCAGTCAGGTAGTCTACTCCATGCCTGAGAACGACAAGTCAAATTATCTGCTAATGGAATAAGATTATTTTATTAGATAAAATCACTAAAAAGAAGTAGAATGTCTTTAACTATCACCACGAGAAATATTAGAAGCATTGACTACACCTAAGATGATTTCACTAGCTGAGATCATTTCTTGTAGTGCAGTCTAGGTTTGGACTCATCGACCCATTTTTATGAACATCAAAATTATAAAACAGCTATAAAATAACCAAGAAATTTGTTCAACAAATCAAAACACTCTGCTAACCTAGATTTAGCCCTCTTTGCCTTGTTGCAGATTTGCACACTCCCCTCAAAGAGTTTCATGAGAAGCCACCTGGGATGCTTTTCCAACAGGCTTAAAGAAGTTCCCAATTTTATTTATTCAGGTGTGTTCAAATGTTTTTCAGCCCAAATATGCATATTTCTCTAACGTAGCTGATCCTGAGAGCTGAGCAGTGACGTAAAACTAATGATCATATAACTGCTGCACCATTTAAGGTGGAATGTGAAAATCAGAACAAGAAGCTAGCGATTAGGAAACCAAATTCAAATGCATATTTCCGCTCTTTTTTAAAAAATCCATCTCTGAAGCAGGAGGACTGTTTTGGCCTGTTAGCTGTGCTGGTTGTGTAGGCACCGGTTATTTCAATAGTTCTGCTAGCCTAAGGCACCAGAATGCTACACCATTTAAGGTCGAACGGGATAATTCGCACAAGAAACTGGCGAAAAGAAGCTGACTTCAGCTTCACTGAGAGTTGAAAGGCATGAAAAGGGACGAGGAGGCTGCCCTGTTTCTGCTTGGCAGGTGAGGAACAACTTATCTTTGCTGTTTCACAGAACCAATAGGTCAGTACTGTTGTGTCCCATTTGCTAATGCATAGCTAATCCCAACTGGGTAGTGACAGTTTGCTGACTGTTTTTTCTGTACAACGTTTGCAAAGGGTATGCTGGCCACGAAGATCTAAAAACAATTGTTATTTGCCTTGGCGATACACGTCGATAAATTTGGGGGGTGGAGGTTCTGATGGAGCACTGAAGGGAGGGTGTATTTATTTTGCTGTTGAGCTCAAATATCAACAACTATTCCCCAGAATTGCTTACTGTGCCTTTAAATGTGGGATCCTATTCCAATCTCGATCAATATCGGCTGATCGTGCTGAAAGGCGAATGGCAATCGATATTGGCCCCAAAAACACTGATCGATCCATCTCTACTTCAAACTATTGAATATAATTATTGGCGCATAATTTGTAAGGGGCCCAAAGCCATTGAACACAGAAAGATACATATAGATCATGTTCTGTAAAACACAATTCTGAGATGAAGAAGAAAAGCTGGAATAATTGTAAAGAGGCGAACTAGAAACAACTCACTTCTCACAGAAATCACTGATGGCCTCCCAGTAATGCTCATGCACAGCAAACCACTCGCAGTCTCCAGGGCCGATGTTGATGTTCACAGAGCAGAAGTTGTTGTTCTCCTGGTGGCCTAAAGAAAATGACACATTGCATCATGTCAAAGAGACTATCTCCATATTCAAGAGGTTTTGGGAACATATTTTACATGAAGAAGTGTGTGGAGACCTGGAGTTCTGCTGCCTGGAACCTTCATATACAGTTGGACGGTGTTCATGCCCAGAATGGTGTGACCCACATGGCTCAGCATGTTATCACTTGAAGAAACACGCATGAACACTGGCAACTTCAGCAACTCCTGCAGCTGGGGCTTCCACCTGCAGTCAAAAACACAGCACTCTCTGAAAACACAGTCATACACAACCCTCCCACCATGCACAAATCTGCAAATGGAACTCGAATGCAGTAGTTGCTACCATCTACAGTGCCCTAGCAGAGGATCTTAAGGATAAGTCGACAATCTAACAGCAACTGATCTGGAGGCAATTATCAACATCTCCCTTAGCACCAGAAAGAAAACAGAGTGGGTTTCTCAAGAATCTCAGGGTTACAAACTCCCACAAACCCACCTTCATAAGACGTAAGCTCTCACTTCAGAGGATCATATGAAACTGGGGAGAAAACAACAGTTTCCAAAGGAGAAGAGCCACAGGGATGAGGGAAAACTGCTATCTCTCCTCTACAAAACCTGGCTATTGTATTTTTGCCTGCCCAAACTGTCAGAAACTTTCAGGTTTCCTCCAGAATCAGAAGGCCTTTGATGATATTCTCCTGTGTACCCAGCCTCCAGGGTCCAACTGCCAGTTACCCTCTCTGGGGATAACCAACAGTACCATTTCTAGGCCCCAGGCTATTCCTTCTCTTATCACCTGAAAGAGAGCATCTATGGATGGGTAATTCTTTGCCTCTGGGTTTATCCACCTGTCCACCTCTCCTGTTGGGTGAAATGCACTGGCCTCAGGCCATGTATTCATTCCAAGGACTTCAATAAGATACCATAAAAACAGTGGTATCTGCTCCCCCCCTGTGAGTACACCATCAATACCAAGCTGGACCTGAAAGGTACAGTCAATCTAGGCCGCATCCGGCAAGGAGGTGAGGAAAAATCATGTTCAACACCCTCAGTGGCCACTATGAGTACACAGACATGCCCTCTGGAATGGTTAACGCTCCGTATGCCTTTCAAGCATTCACAAATCTCCCCTGCTTTGTATCTGTCCAAGACCCACCAGGGATATTTCTGGCTACTTCTGAAGGACCACTTGTATGTCAAATTAGAGAAGACTACATTTCATGTACCCAATTTCTACTTATGGGCTTTGGAGGTTTCCATGAGCAGCATTCAAATGAACCTTGGTAAGGTCAAAGCAGTTAGGGAATGGCTATGGCCCACGTCTTCTAGGCAGGTACAACACTTCTTGGGTTTTCCACCTAAATAAAAAAACAAAAACCAAAGACCCTCTTCAAAGTCTTTGACACACCATAAGTCCATTCTTCCAAGCTCCATAACAGTTGCTCCTGTTCAATGGGACTCTGAAGCCAGAAGGTTCAGCAAAAGAACTCTCAGAGGGGCTCATCTATGGAAACTTAACCTAGGTAACCTTTATTGTTGCTTGTCCTGATGTGTTGTGATGGGAATGCTCCACAAAGCTCAGCATACATGGGTGACCAGGACTCTCCAATTCCTCCAAAGCTGCTTCTGGTAGCCCAGCATTCAGGGAGATGTATAGGAATTGCCACTGCAAGCTTCTCTGCTTGATTTGCTATTCACTCGCATTTCTATAGGTTCTGTCACTAGCCTGCTCACCTTTCCAATATACTTATAGTTGCGGTGGACAGATTTTTTTACTAGCCAAGTTCCCTTCAGCGTATAAAACCACTGCTCAGCTGTGTTGACAGTCACAAATGTAAAAAAAAGATTTTCTTTATTAGATCACCATTGGTTGTGCATATCTGTCTTACCTCTTTGGGTCAGAGAGGTCAATGTTGGTTCCAAATTTGATGATTTTCCCGATCGCTTTCTGATCAGCGCTAAAAGAAAAAGAGATACACATAATTTCCCACAGTGAGCAACACATCACTGGAGAGCCAGATGATGATGAGTAAACATTCAGAGATAATAAATTAAGTAAGGCATCTTCTGACTTGGATGTGCCGGAGACAGAAGGAGAGATGGACAAAGCCTCTGATTTCAACTCGACTGGTTCAGATTTTTTCTCTCCCTCATCTTCATCCTCGCTGTCCTTCTCTTCCTGAAAGAGATGCATAAAAGTAGAAAAGATTATGAACTCTGCTCTTACTACACAGTGTGTGCTTCTTGTGAGGCCTGCACCTAATGCTGATGATTGTAGAAAGACATGGACATACTGGAGTTGCTGGGACAGTGCGCTGGAGAAAAAAAAATTCTTGGGATGAAATGCAGCTTTATTTATAAAACAACAAGAGCCACAAGATTTCCTTTTGGTTACTGATGTTAATGGGTGGGTTATACTTAGCTGTAGACAAAGAAGTTTTTACAGTATGAATAGTTCAATGTAAAACCATAAAGAACGTCTTTGTGCATTTGCATATGTACCTGTAAGCTCTCCTGGAAGCTGGAGGCCTGATACTGAGCATACTTGGCAATGGTGGTGTGGGATCGGCTGCTTTCACATGGCCAAGTCTGAGCTGAGCCGGCATGGTTCCAATTTTCATCAGCTCGCTGCTGCACCTGAGTCCTCACTTCCACAGCATGTTCACCATTCGCCTCCACCAAGGACTTAGTAGAGAACAAACCCAGGTCTAAAAAAAACCAGAGAAATCAGGAGAAAGGTTAGGAAATATTTTACTAAAGTAGGTGAACCCTGTATTCCTTCAGCAGGCAACAGAGCAAAAGGCGTCTAGTCATTTCCTATGGAAGTAGGTGATTTGTAGCTGCGATTTAGCAACAAGCGACAAAGTGACAGGGCAACAAAGGTCCATATCAAATTGAGATATGGTGAGGCAATGATCTGACTGACTGGTTCCAACAAATTCCTCAGACCAAACCAAACAAAGGATCTGACGTCCCTAGGCTTTGCTCTCTAAACTTTTGGCTCCTACCAACTTTTTGTTCCTATTTCCAATAGTATCACAGAAAAGGAAGAGAAACTATCTGTGTCCGTTTCCAATCGCACAACAGGACTGTGAATGTTGGTGGGGTTAATATTTTAAACAAAACAGTGGTACATATATAGCAAATATTTTTTTACATCTTCTTATCAGAAGCTGGACAGTGTACAGAGCCAAAAACGACAACAAGAGCACCCTTGAACACATCCACAAGAATCAATATTGTGGCGACATTAGCGATTGGCCACCTCCTAATGTGAACGGATGGTTATGTTAGTGTGGGATAACAACATTGCAAAAAACGACACTAATGTGAAGTGCAGATTAAAGGGAAGGTTCTCTGTGTGATGGATAGTCTTTAAAGATGCACTTCAAGGATTGACTGACAACGATACAATGATGTTAAGCCTCTTTATGGAAACGATCCAACTGTGTCAACCCTCTATTTCTGGCAGCCTCTATGTGTGAGTGAGAGAGAGATACAGACAGAGCGAAGAGGGTACTCACTAAGCCGGAGGGATCCTGCCAGGCCTCTGATAACAGTAACAGGGTTTTTGGGATCTGTGCAGAACTGCAGCAACACTGGAGAAAATGCATCTCTCTTACTCTCGAGCTAAACACACACACAAACACACAGAGTCAGCAGGGAGTAACATACTATGACAATGAACACAAGTTTTCTAAAGGTGATTTCCCTTGGACAGTGCAGTACAGCAAGGTACGGTTACTAGTCTGGACCTATAACTGTTTGCACCCTGAATGAGTATCCGCGTCTGCTTCCCATTGCACAACAGGACAGCGAACGTTGGTGAGGTTCTCTGTAGGTTGTGTGGTGGTAACATGACTTTTCTTGCAAGGCTGGCTAGCAACGATGGAGTTTTTGACTGACGTTTTGACTGACATTTTGATTGACATTTTACTCTGTTTCTGGTTTTCTGTGAAGAGTCATAGATAGCGATTCTGGCTAGCTAGTACTATATAAATAACTGTTATCTAACTTAAGTGACGATGCACGACAATGCATGTGATGCAGGTTCACTCAGCAGTGGAAATGATGACTAAATGCATGTCCACAGGTTTGTACCTGTACTGTACCGTTTTGCACTGCCCAGTGAAAATCAATGTCAAAGCACATAGATGTCTGTTCAAAAGATACAAGAATCTTATGCTCACGTAGATGCTGGGTGTTGGAGGATTGAGCTTCTCACGGGGTATGAGAGACTCCACATTTAATACAGGCTTTACTGACAGTGCAGGCAACAGATAGGACTCGTGGAATTTGCCCTTCACTGTTGCCCCTCTGTCAGAGAGAAAGAGAGAGAAGGTTGATAAACTGAGTTGCACCAATACGCAAACACTATAAGTGAATACTGAGTCTGCATACTTGCTGCACATGTCAGTAGAAACAACCTTGTAATTCCACCTTGCTGTTGTAGAGACTGGGATGCCCAGGGGTGCCCAATCCTGGCCCTAGGGATCCACCACTCTGCACAGCTTAGCTCCAACTCTAAGCTAACCCACCTAAATTAGGTGGCGAAACTTTCAGGGGGATTTGAATATTACCACCCTGGAGAGTTCAGATCCAGGTGTGTTGGATCTGAACTCTCCAGGGTGGTAGATCTTCAGGATTGGGCACCTCTGCTTGTTGATGAACAATTTGAGTTAGCCATCTTTTAGCCTTTTATCCACAGTTGGTTTCTGACCACAGAGACACTTTCGGCGGCATGTACTTATCACTGCTGTGCTAAGAATGGACACTGTCAGAAACTGATGAATAGATAACCAGGTAGCTGACAAATTGTACACTATGACAGATGGGCAACTGTCTGTAATTGTACACGTATATAGTGGACGTACAATGTAGGTGGACCTCATAAAGTAGCCAGTGAGTGGAAGTACAAGGTAGGGAGTTCTAATACAGTGGATGGCTCATGTAAATTGGAGAAATTACTGTAACAGGTGCAAATGTGCAGGGATTCTATTCTCATGCCAAGCAAAAGCATTGAGGCTTACTTGCAGGCCCCGATGATCTCTGCTGCTGTGTTCTTAATACTGATATCATTTAGCGGAATCCTCTTCTGCTCAATCTCAGAGGCAATGAATGTTTGCCTCCCATTGCTCTTTACTTTAACCAGGTGGATCTTCAGCTCTTTCAGAGGTATGGCAGACAGGCCCTGTAGCCTCAGCAACTCAGCTTTGCTCAATGGAGGCTTGCTGGAGCCACTTGCACTGGGGGAGGTGTTTGTGTTGGTTGTTGCTTTTGTTGTGGCTTGTGTCAGACATGCGCTTCCATTGTCTTTGTTCTCATTCTCCTCCGCAGGTTTGACTCTCTCTTCTTCCCCCCTCTCTCGCTCCTTTTCCCTCTCTTTCTCTGCCTCTTTAGTCCGTTGTTTGATGTTCTCTACAGTCACTGCCTGCTTGTTCCTGAGCTGCTTGGAACGACCACCGGAGGTAGAGGAAAGGGGCAGAGATTTTGGAGAGCAGCACTGTGCCTCATTCTCAGTCTTTCCTTTCTGCTTTTTATGTGTTCTTCCTGTGCCCTCTCTTACATGTGAACCTTGGTGGTTGCTGCCAAGCTTTTGTTTCTGACTCCTCTCACGCTCTCCCTTCTTCTCTCTGACTCGTTCTGATGCCTTCTCAGTCGCTTTGATGGTTTTGGACTCTTTTTTTCCACTCGTTTCTTCTGGGATGGGGACAGAGACAGGATTAGAGCTCTGCGTCAACAGCACCTCGCAACTGTGGGCCAGTCTGGCCTGCAGGGTTGCGGGTGACATTATCTTTGCTTCTTTCTCTTCCTCCAGTGAGGTACAGGTAGGCTCCCTGTGTGATTCTACAGGTTTGATTAGGTTGTCACTGACTTCCTTGTGGGCCCTACTGTCCTCCTTTTTCTCTTCCTTCATTTTTTTGTCATCCTCAGGCTCTGAAATCAGATCCGAGGGACTCTGGGAAGGGGCTACTCCAGTAGGGGTCAGGTTAGTTTCAGACAGACCAGTGTGGGATCGGCCAGTTGGGGTCAAGCCAGTTGGGCTCAGGACAGGTTGGGACAAGCCAGCTGGAGACAGGTCAGTTTGGGACAGACCAGTTGAAGACAGATCAGCAATGGGCAGGACAGTTTGGGACAGGCCACTTGGGTTCAGGTCAGCTGGGGTCAGATCAGTAGGGAAAGGGTCAGTTGGTGACCCAGCCATTGGAGATACAGCCACTGGGGATGCTGAGGTTGGGCTTTGTTGGTCTGGAGGCCGTATCTCTGGGCCCAGCGAAAGCGAGGAAGAGTATTTGACCCCACCCAGGGCGTTTGGAGGTGGCCGGCCAAAAGGTCCACCTCTGTAGGTGTACCTATGGCTGCCTGAGCCAGAGATGCTATCAGTCTGGTGCAGGTGGGGTCTCTGGGTGACCTGAGAGCTTGTTGTGCTGCTGTCCTGCTGTTCTGCCTCATGTTCTTCATCCTCCTCTTCCTCTACAAACTTAGAAGGCTCATCAAGGCCGTAGAGTTTGGCCAGGTCACTATGGCGGTAGTCTGGCCAAGACTCTCCTGTAAATGAGATTTTTTGTTATGAGAGTGAGGTATTCAAATGTCTAGTATTCATATATCCCAACCAGAACCTACTTACATTGTTAGGAATAGACAATGAAAACATTTGACATATTTAACATATGTTTACTGTGAATAGCTAATTTAAGGAGTGATCTGAACCTGACTGCTCTGGTTGATTAGTGATTCATTTTTGTGTTTTAGGCATATGTAATTATCAGCTACAGAATGCTACCTCATAAGCCTCTCTGGGACTCACCAGGTTCTTTCCAGGGCTCTTCTGGGTCTTGAAGTGGAGAGGTGTGTGTGGGGCTAGGCTGGAGCACAGGCCTCCTCATCATTATATCCTCCTCTTCCTCACTAAGATCTGAGACAGGGGAACCTTGCCAGCTCAGGACAGGGGGGCTGGCTGAGGGGTCCAGCCGCAGGTGGTCATCTGTACAGGTGCCATGGGCAGGCAGCAGGTCTGGAGCATGCTGGGGCCTTGTCTCAGGCTGCTGGGGAACATTCTTCTCAAAACCAGTGGATGCATCCGAAATGGGAATTTCCTGCTCACTGCTAGCAGGCAGATTGGAGGTAAAAACTTTGAGGTCAGACTGCTCCTCTTGAGGCCTCTTGAAGCTGCTGGTGTTAGGACTCATAGGCTCAGAGGAGGGCAGGCTGTCATCACTATCTGAGGTCATATTATTGGCAGTATCTTTTGAATGGCTCTGATTGGCTGGAGGGGTGGAGGAGGGTGGGACGGACCCTGAGGTGTGTGAAGAGTCAGAATGGCAGCTGCTCTCCTCCTCTCCTCCACTCTCTACATATTCACGGGCTGGGGATGATGATGTATGCAAGACGGCTGGAGATGGAGTAGACTGAAAAATGGCTGAATGAGGGCTTTTACTTGGAGAGCGAGACGATGGAGTCTGGTGAGATATTTCTCTTTTCTCTTTCTCCCCTTTCTTAATGCCATCTCTCTCCGCTCTCCTCTGTCTTTTCTTCGCATCTTTAGCTTTCTTCTCATTCTGTCCCAACCCCATCTCCACTTTTCTATGCATGCCCTTCCTCTCCCGATGCCCTCTTCCCTCTTCCCTTTCTTTCTTCTTTTTCTTTGCCTCCAGTTTTCTCTCCATCCTCTCCCTCCCATCCTCACCTTTCTTTTCTTTCCTTCTCTCACGCTCCCTGTGCCTCTTCTTGGCTTGGCCATGTTTCTGCAGGTTCGTATCCAGCCGGCTTATTGAGCTCTCCTGACTGTCGTGGTTAGAGGAGCTGGAGTGGATGTAGTTAGATGGACTCCGGTGTTTGGAAAGTTTGCTCTTCTTCCCCTCTGACCTGTGAGAACTAGATCCAGGTTCAGGACTTGGAGAGGCAGTAGAGGCCTCTGTAGCTGGACTTCGTTGCTTGCCGTGGTCTTTCTCGCAGGGAGCACCATAGGGCTGGGGGTGTTTGGCGGTGCCGTGGCGCCTCCCTTCCTCTTTCGGCTCCTGTGACTGCTGCCGTCCATCCAGCCCTGTACCAGAGCGCCTAGTCTCCTGTATAGAAACAAACACACCACAACATAGATCACAGGCAATAAAACAATAGCAAAAATCTGATTTCTTATTGTTCAACAATGTGTGTTTGAGGAATTTTCAATTATTATTTTTATTCTGTTCTGTTCCTCCATATGGTATTAGCAGCAAAAGTTTGAGCAAAAACTGCTTTGGTACACTATATTTTTCTGTGTCTTTCACTCTCTAGACACAGAGAAAGAAGTCTAGCCATTCACTTAGAACAGCATAGACCAGTAGGACAGTTAATTGGCTAGCTATTTTCAGTTTTGAAATCAAAGATTAAAAAAGGCAGTGAGTTTGAGGAAAATGTCTTGGAACAAAAGTTACCTTTTTTGGACAAAGTTTTCTCATGACAGTGACAACAACAAAAAAAATCTCAAGAGAAAAAAAAGACAAGTCATTAGGGATTCTAAGAAAGACACTCACACTGCTCTGCTTTGCAGGGCGATCCTGGCTTTTCCAGGCCATTGTGGGTGACCCATGGCTGGGATGCAACACCGTAGTCCCATTGCCAGATGCATCTGGATGCCTGTGTGTTGGCGCTGGGGGCTGGTGCTGGGGGCTGTAAGGCACTCTGGTGAAGTTTGCTGGTGAGAGGGGAACGGTACGCCCCCAGTCCCCTTTGGTTCCACGGAGGCCCGGGTGATCTCGAGGGTTGTTGTGGCCTGGTTTCTGAAAGGCCTGGCTGGGGCCACAGAGAGCAGGGGAGGTCGGATGGGTCCTGTGGGAGTGATCTCTGCTGCTGGACTGATTAGACTCCTGCTGAGACAAGGTTAGAGCGGAAGGAGGTATTTAATTAGATGAAAGGATCATTAAAATCTTAACAACTTTGCATGCAGTATGTGCGTTGTTCCTATTCTAAAACACCTGTTTCAGCTTAAAAATAAGTTTCTAATTAGTGAATGATATTATGTGACTTATGTGTGTTACATAAAATAATGGTTATGAATGAATATTTGTTATGTTTTAAATCTTGCAATATAAGTCCAAAACAAAATGGGGCAATAAAATGGGATTTGGTGTCTAACCTGGAAGCGTGAAGGAGAATGCCTCTTATTTGACTGACTCCAGGGGGCAGAATTTCTATATGGGGGACTCCAGGTGCGAGGGGGGTGGGACAGTAGAGGACGGTTCATAGGATGCTTCATTCTAGGGGTGAAAGCCTGAAAAATGAAAAAACACAATATGGCAATTCAGCACTGCATCTGGCAGTAGTTGTCCTGACCAGCAGATGGTGCTAAACTGCACTTGTTCAGTGACTGAAAGTCAATAAAACAGTGGTTCCCAACCTTTGTCCTACAGTTCCCCTTCCCTGCACATGCAGTACCAGATATGATCCAACTATTCTTAAAAGTGGTTGTGTTAGAGCAGGGAAAGCACAAGGATACTCCAGGTCTTGGATAGGGAACCACTGATCAACAACAACCTTATTTGATTTGATAAAAGTTGATGTACATGTCAAAAAAAATAGCAAAATGTTCCTGTTTCCCAAAGTGACATTGATCAGGGAAAAGACATCTTGTGTCTGGTGTTTGCTTCTTTAGTTCTGCACTGGAGCTACAAGGTTAATGTGACTATCTAGTGATGGAAGCTTATACCTGCCATGTTAGCATCATGTTCACTACATGCCTAAATCACACATTCGCCTCAAATCGTACTGAGTTGTTAAGTAATCTCTAACAAACTCTCTTATGTGGTTTCTGATACTGTTTGACTGACTGTTGTTTATAAACATGGACAAAAGTAGAGGCAAAATTTCAGGCTCCAGGATGGCTGCTACTATTTTAGCAACAAACTTTTGCCCATGTTTATAGAAAACAGTGTGTCATGCAGTGTCAGAAACCACATAATCAGGTCTATTAGAGATTACTGAACATCTTGACATGGTTTGTAGCCTGCATGTGATCATTTAGGCATGCAGGTGATGCTAATTGGTGGGCTTTCATTTCTAGTTAGCTACATTAGCCTTGTAGCTCCGGTGCAAAACTAAAGAAGCAAACTACAGACACCAAACACAACTTGCTACATCGACTAAATTTGGGTGATTTGTTGCTGAGTGAATGATCAAAGGTGCTGACCTGGTGTGAGCTGTTGCTTTTACTCCTCTTGCTGGGGCAGTCGTCTCTGGATGGGGAAGGGTGTCGGTGAGGGGCTGAGTCGCTGTGTGGGGGGGCTGGCCGTTTGAGAGAAGGACTCTGGAAAGGCCTGGATGGGGACACTGGACTCCATCTCTCTCCCTGTGCCTGTGGGGGGCGCTGCTGCTGGTGAGGGCCTCCATACTGAGGAAAACAGAAGGCAGAGATGTTGTGATAGAAACCAGGGGTCACCATGATTACAAAGTTTTCATCTGAGCCTTCCAAGCATTCGACAGGTGATCTACTCAGATCTGAGTGACGTGGGCTGAGTGTCCGCTCACTCTGTCTCTCACCCTCTGAGGCTGGCTGGCGTGATTGTTGCTGTTGGAGACAGTTCCTCCGCATCCTGAGCTGTAGCTGTTAGTAGTGGCCCGGGCCGTATCCTGGTGGTTTGGACCCCAAGGCCGTGGGGCTGGCCGGACCCTCCCGGGGCCTCTCTCTCTGGGCTGACCGTGAGCTCTGTCCCTGCTTGACTCTGGAGGTCTAAACAAAAGAGTACACATATGATGTTCATCACGCTGCAAGTAACCTTAGGAGCTGCATTTCACCAGTGATGATAAAGTCCTGCTGTCATTTTATACAAATTATAAGACAAAACTGTGTGCAAAGCACAGATTCCAAACTTTCCGTCCACACCACATTTACGTCTGTAAGTTAAAGAGCAGATATTTTATTCTGATTTGAATTTGATGAAAAGTTATGGCCGTGCATTAACATTTTTGCCAAGCTTTTGACTAAAAAAAATCACAAATGCAGATTCAAGATGGTCAAATTAAAAAGGAAGGTGATAAATGATTGTGTATTTATGTTATTGCATTAGTATGTTATTGCAAAATGACAATTATGACATATATAGAAGAACAGAAGTGTTGTGTTGGGGAGTATGCTTCAGGGCAGGAGCTGAAAGCCATAAGTTGGTGCAGTTTTTTTTTTGGCTCAGACGGACCTGTTGTTATAAGCTTTATGATGGTTTCTTCCTGATGTGTGGCTCAGACCGGGGTGCTGGGGTGGGTACACTCCTCCGCTGGCCCTGTGGATGTAGGGAGTGATGGATAGATGAGCATAGCAATATTTAGTGTTCGATTAGGGTAAAAGATATGAAATTGCAGACAATCCTCTAGAGGCGCAGCTTCATGTACAATGTACATTATCACCACAACTCGAAACATACAAGTTCAGTAGTGACAGGTAAATAATTTTAATTGTTTATTAATTACTTGGTAAACACTTTATATTCTGCACAGCAAAAGCAAAGGCAATGCAGTTGGAGCTTCTCTGTGAACGACTGAAATCGTGTGTCATTTTGTAGTTGGCAACACGCCCAAATATCCAGGGCTAAGCTGTTTTTCTCTATGGGAAAAATGCCCTGCCGCCATCACACCCTGTGGTAAACAAGTGTCCCAAAGCAGTTCTGTCCTATGCATATTTTGTCCCCGAATGGCACTGGATCAAAAAAAGGAGTCAAAATACTGGTATGAATATAGCTACATCTATGCCACGTGCAAACTAATACTGCTGTGCCCTGAATTGACACCGCATGAAATGTTTAATACTGTACTTCAACTCTGTAACAGCAGACTGTAGCTGACTACTGATAAGGCAATTTAACTACCACACCTGACTAAGCTCGCTGGTTTGTGTGGGGTATTTTGGTGAGGTTGCTTGTCTAATTATGTCCATTTAAAGCACAGCAGTGTTTACGCATATCTGTATGTCGAGTCCATAACAAACTCGTAACTCAAAAAAGGACAAAATGTACAGTGGGGTCCAAAGGTCTGAGAACGCCGGTGAAAATGCTTCTATTTGCATTCCTTTCCAATTCTGTACAAAGTTTCTCATTACAAATTATATTGTCGGCGTAAGTCTTTGAAATTTGAACAAGAATTTCAGAACTTTTTAGAATTCAACATGTCCTTCTTTGCTTTAATGACAGTGTGAACTTGAGCTGGCAGTGGACTCCACAAGTCAGTTCAAAATCCTCTGACGACAAGTCATAAGTTTGAATGGCGTCCTAGACTAAACTTTTTTTTCTTACGTTTTTCAAAATTCTAAACTTTTCGGTTCAGATTTCAATGCAAAATATCCAAGATTTACAGTGTGGTCTCAGGCTTTTGGACCACACTCTACTGACTTTGGAAGACTTTTGCTCACCAAAGGGTGATTCTCAAGAACAGCAGTTACTTTTCCCAAAGAGAAAAACAGCTCACACTCTGAGATCTTAATTGGGGCGATGCTGACTACAGAATTCTGACAGGTCTGTATGGAAGCGACCAAGATTATTCAGATAGAACCAAGCTTCCCAAAAAGGGGTGGGACTGTTATATGAAGGGAGATGGGTGGTGTTTTTCCATGAATTAACACAGGAATCTAAATGAGGTGTAATAGCTCTCTAAAAACAACACATTTAAAAAAGATGAGCACCATGCCTCCTCAGCAGTGTACTGACTGTACTGTGCATGATTAGGGCAGAGACTGTGTAATGCTGGCCTTACATGTTGAAACTTTTGTGCAACTGCAGGTCCTCCAGATGCTGCCATGATAACAACTGTGAGCTTCATGAAGCTTAACATACAAAATGTGCTTATTTGTTGGTAACCAGTTAGCTTAACTAGTCAGCTGTGTAACCTCAAAGTTGAAAAATAAGTTAACTTATGTTTCAACCTGCAACTAGTTGCAAGGAAGTTTCACCAAGTAAAGCCAGCCTAAATGTGGACTGAGAGCGGACCTGGACGGAGCAGCCCAGTTGCGTCCGGAGCTAGGAGCCCATGCTGCTCTGCTGGAGCCACCGGAGGGGAAGGAGTCCCATGAGTACCGCCCAGAATACTGCTCTGCTGCGTGATACATCCAGCCTGGGGCAACACCCACACACACACAAACACAAATAAAGTGTTATTGTGGGCGACAATACAATCTGGATATTTTGTAGCAAACTGACGCCACTGCGTCCAATCAGTGAATCAATGCTCACCACACTAACGCACACGGGAATCCCTCCAGTGCGGAACAGAGACAGCACAACTTCAGCCTGAGAGAGAGACAGAGAGACAGAGAGACAGAGAGAGAGGTATTTAACAGTAGGCCATTGTTTCAGTCTGAGTGGCTTAACATACAGCAGGAGGTCATTTTGGACCATTTCTGTTGGCGCATTCATCATGAAATGAACACATTGTAAAAACCACCTCTCATTTTCAAATTCTAAAAAAATGATAAAAAGAAGACAATCCATTTTTGTTCTGATGATAATACTACTATTATTTTTTCCTATACAAGAGTTGTGAGAGGATATGCACTGTGAATTGAACACTGTTCACTTTTTGACACTATTAATACAACATGGCACAACATTAGAGGTGTTGGTAAAATGTAATATCACGATACTTCAAGACGTTTCTTACGATACACAATGTGTCACAATATTTATTTTTTATGGCATCTGATAAGTTAGAACAGACAAAGTAGGGCCACATTTTAAAATATATTTACATTTATGACATTTGGCAGACGCTCTTATCCAGAGAGACTTACAATTTGATCATTTTATACAGGTAGGCAATGGTAGTTTTAGGAGTCTTGCCCAAGGACTCTTTTTGGTATAGTGTAGGGTGCTCACCCAGGCGGGGATTGAACCATCAAAAACTATGAATCCAATTACTTGTATTCGACATTTCACACACGGTGCTGCACTAAATCCAGTTAACCCCTTAAAATCTCAGGCTTATTACATACTGAGGCTTATTAGTCAGTAACTACAGGGACTTCAATGCAAACTGGCTGAGATATTCTTAGGTTATAGACATGTGTAATAAAACAGGACTAATTATGCTTTCTTTTTAATCAAACATGCAGTTGGAAAGTGATTTTTTAAGTACTGACGATATCCATGATATGATGCCATTTCTCATGATGTATATGAAATGTTGTCATATTGCCCAGCACTACATGTACCACTATATTATTTCCAGCACTGTCTTAGACTCAGGCACCTAAGCAAACTGTCTTAAACTATAAACTGTCATAAAATCACTCATTACTGCAATTCAAGTAATAAGAAGCTAATCATTCCTCCAGTAATCAAAGCTCAGCTTGTTTTGGGTAAACTGGAGCTCATTTCAGTTAAATGGGCCACTGTTAACACACAGCCGCCGCTATGACACACCCACCCCTCCTTATCACGAAGAAAAACAAACTATTCAGATTTAAATCTCACTCAGAATCACATGCCGTTATCAGGCAGAAGGAGAGGTGCACTATAAAAATCCTTTAGAATCAAATTAACCCTTATTATTGCATATATTAATCAAGCAAATATTACTGCAGTACAACAGTTAATACGATTTCATCATTATTATCATGTGCTGTCAAGTTGTTTCCGACTCCTGGAGACCCCATGGACAGTGCTTCTCCAGAATATCCTGTCTTCTCTTTGGGCCTTCAGGCTTCGGAATGGCTGGTTCATGATTCCTCTGATTATATGCTGCCATCTTGTAGCTGGTCATCCTCTTCTTCTTTTACCTTCATCTCTTCCAAGCATAATGGACTTTTCCAATAAATCAGTTCTTCTCAGAAGAGCTTCAGTTTGGTTATCTGGGCTTTGAGTGAGAGGTGAGGCCTGATTTGGTTTGAGGATCCATTTGTTGGGTTTCTTTGCCGTCCAAGGTTCTCTCAAAAGTCTTCACCATCACCAAAGTTCAAAGGCATCAGTACTTTTCCTGTTCCGCCTGTTTATTGTCCAGCAGGGAAGATCACAGCCTGGACAATCCTGATCTTTTTTTGTAGAGACAAATCGTTGCATTTGAAGAAGTTCCTTCATCTTTGTTCTGCTGAGTGCTGATCTGTGTCATATTTCTTGAGTACTGGATCCTTTGTTGTTAATAACTGATGTGAGTAAAGAGAAGCTGTCCACCATTTCCACATCTTCTCCATCAGTGGAAGTTGGCAGTCTTTCCTGTCGGAAGACCCTCTTCATATTGAACCAAAGACCCATCTTTTCACTCTGTTCTACAACCTTCCTTATTAGGGCCTTCAGGTCTTCCAGATTTCCTGCTGTGAGTGTTGTATCATCTGCCTGTTGAAGGTTATTGATGTTTCTTCCACCAATCTGGAATCCATTTTCCTACAGTCTGCTTCTCTTATATGCTCAGTGTGTAGGACAAACAGAAGTGGTGACAGGGGGCAGCCTTGTCTGACTCCTCCGCCAATGTGGAACCAGTCTGCTTGTCCATTTTCTGTCCTGACTATGGTTTGTTGATCTCTGCTAAGACTTTTCTGCCATGGGAGACCCTGAAAGGAGTTAAAATTCCAGGCAACATAGCTCTCTGCTTCTACGGTGCATGCAAGTCTCCTCGCCTCAACAGGACACCATTCCAAGAGAAGGTATAATGTTAGATAATTCTTTAGGAAAGGATTAATTGCATACTGTAATCTCAAACTTCACCTCCCAGTTTTATTTGATTATTTTGGAAACAGAATGATTAAAGTTTTGCACTAAGTAGCAACCACAACAATATGGTACGAACAACATGAAAATAACTATAATTACAATAATTTCTTAGGGTTTCCTCCATTTTCCACTGTTTAGCAGTTTTCCTAATGCTGTTCTTCGTTTTCTCAGGTCAGATGTTCAGCCTCCTCTTTGAGGATGTAATAATCTTGATGGAATATTAATCTTTTTCTATTTTCCATTTCTCAGTTTTCAAGATATGCCAGTGTTCCAACTCTGGATTGTTCAGTCTGATCAGGAACAATGTACTTGTATAGAGCTTTTTGATCATATGTATGATCATAATTTTGCATAATCATTGTTTAAATGGGTTTTTTTCTATAGGAATGAATGGGGGCAAAAGTTTGCGCACCCAGCTTATGTCATGATGAAACAAGTCCATTTACAACATCTTATTAACCATGTGGAGTACATTAGCAACACCCTAGCAACCACCTGGGATACCACAGCAACCACGTAGCAACACTCTAGCAACCACTTCAGGTACCATAGGAACCACATAGCAACACCTTAGCAACCATGTGAGATTTTTTCTTTTTTAAGTGTTTAAAAAGTAAGCGGGAATAATTGTTGGAGCGAAGCATGACAATATTTTATATATACATATTTTACACATATTTAAAATATCATAAAAAAGGAATTCTCTCTGGAATACAGGACACTGTCTTGTTGTGCTGATCATGGGACCAAACTTTCGATTTTCAGGACTGTCTAGACAATTCCTAGCTGGCTGATTCTTGGTGTAAATTTTCATGGTGTACATTCAATTAATAGCTTACAAATTCAAATATTAAATTTGATTAAAACGCCCTTCCCTAACTCGATGGAAACACAGTCACATTCCTCTAATCTTAACCCAAGACAGGCCCTCTCACAGCTCCACCACACCCCCCTCGACCGCTTTATCAGGACAACAAACACACACAGTGTGTGTAGCGTGTTGATACGTGTGTGTCTGTCCCTGCAGTGTGTTGGAGAGTGATACCAGCTGGTCCAGCGTGGGGAGGAAAAAGAGAGGCTGACAGTGCAGGAATGGCAGGAATGTGTAGAGGTTCCTCTTTATTCCTGTGACTAAATCTGCCCACCATGTGGGTCAGCGCCTGAGCTTTTGCCCTCAGACTGTATAAGTGCTCTCTCGGTCAGCATGTATAACTGTAGATTAACATTAGGAGGCGAGAAGTCGCTGTTTGCCTCTTGTGAGAGTATTCGAGGCTGCTCTTGTTGGATGTGGGTGTGTATGCGGACAAGAAAATGTGATATATCTACTATATATGTATCATCATTTTGTTTGGAACATGAACTTTAGTATAAATTTACAAATTTCTCTTACATTTCAGTACAATATTATTGGAAATGCTGCTAAGAAACAAAAAGTTCAGAGTCAAGGTTGGTGACCTTGGACCCCCGCTTCTACAATAGGAATTTGTTTGGGAAAGTGAGCGCCCCCTCTGGTGCAGTCCCGAACACCTGTGGAGATCTTGCCTCTGTAACTCGGACCTATCACAGATGCATGTACCACCACAGCGTTGGAAACGCAATCAATAAAGCACTGATCATCTCTCTAAGCGCCACATTCCATAATCAACATCTGAACAAATCGTTAACAATAATGGGGAGCTAATGACTCACTAAACCAAGTGTTATTGCAAAAAACAGTGAAAAATTGGGACGAGAATGTGAAAAATATGTCTGATATGTATCGTCATGTTGTTAACAAGTTTGTAAGTGTCCCTTCCATTTTTTGTGCGATACTGTTGAAAATAAAACAAAATGCAGGTAGGAACAAAAAGTTGAGAGTATCAAGGCAGGGAACCCCCGAGCCTCCAGTGTCTACAAAAGGTTTGAGGAATTTGTTTGAGTCAATCATTGACAATATCAGCATTCCACATCAATCAATTTGCAAGAAGTTGCAAAATGGTCAATTTTCAAGATCCTTTTTAGTGACTCTCAGCTCAGCCTCGTCCAAGAATGGAGCTTATGGGTCAGTCTGGGTTCTATGAGCGCCCCCTTCTGGTGCAGTACAGACTACCTGTGGAAGTTCGCCCCAGTAACTCTGGCTGGAAATTCCACAAATAAAGCACTCCAAATCTCTTTAATAAAACATCAAACATCAAAGTCCCCGTTTTGGCAGTAAGGCTAATGTTTTAGCTGCCTTGGAAAATACTCTTAACATGCTATGTATGGTCTCCTCTAAAAGTCCCTGTAGTAACTGACTAATAAGCCTTAGTGTGTCATGAGCCTGGGATTTAATGAAGATTCACGTTGCTCCCCCTGCAAGGGTCGTGTAGCAGATACAGTCCAAATCTCAACCACAATGAAGAATGTGTCGCAGTGAGAGCGCCGCTAAACTAGCTTAAGTTTATTTTATACTCTACTTATAGAAATACAGTGAAATAAAACTTAAATTACTATTATTATTATTAACTTTCAGCCAGAGGACACGCACAGTACTTCAGTTTCAGTTTGCGTGAGATGTAAAGTTGACATTTGCATTTAAAGTTACTGATGCTAACCTAAATACTGTC